AAAAATAAATTGTGTTAACATTTTTGTAATTAATTATTTTTGCATTTCGCAATTTTCCCATTTTATATTTTCCGAATTTGTCATAGTGAGGCATTGTTTTTGTGTTATTCTGTGAGCATAACTTACGTCTATGACTCAGTTAGGTCAGAGGTTATTGTAATAATTTGTTATTACGAAATGGGATCGTCTTGACTTTTCTGTTTACGAATGAATTCATTAAAACAAACGCAGTTCTAAATATTTAGGTAACGACACTCCTCATGTTTTACGTCATGCACGTAGACCGTACCGACTAGCTTTTTGGTAATTTTGCGAGCTAAAAAGTGAAAAGGCGAATAATTTTGAAGAAAATTCATTAATACATTCATTAATACACTTAATTAACTTGTAGTGTTCTTGGATTTATTTCAGTATAACCTTTTTTAAATTCGAATTCAGAATTCACTTTTGCTTTAATTGTTTCGCAGTTTGATCCATTCTAATTGTGTTTTTAGATATGCAGCATATGCCCAGCGTTGTGATGCGCCACATTTTTAGTTTTTTGAAGTTAGAAGTACGTCAACGACTTAGGCTAGTTTGTTCTTCCTGGAATAAGTTGATACTTGAAATGCCAGGTCGACTGATCATAGGCAATTTGGTCGTGAAAAAGCAGTATGTTCGTATAAACTGTAATCGGATAGACGCGATTGCTGATGGTAAACTCCTGACAAACTCAGTTTTTATCGGATGATAGACCTCTAAGCAATGAGTCTCATTCCATGTCAATTTTCTGAATATACCGCCGAATTAAAAAATGAGTGCAAATTATGTAATGAAAAACTGCAATTAAAACCTTAACTTAGCCATATGTTGTATGCAAATTAGACAATATTCCAGGTAACCCTTTCCAAATTAACTTTTATGTGCCTATCGATATTGCTTTTTATTCCTTTCTACGTCATATTGCTAACATCGAACACGCGATCTCGCTGGACTTACGATTTCACGATGAGAGCAAAATAATTTACCAGCACTTAACTCATGGGTTCACTCGAAAACACTGGGGAGCTACTGAAGTAGACATCAAGTAAGTTTATGAGATATTTTTTCATGTATTTTACATAATATATGGAAGGTTGTTTATTCAGAAATTTTTCATTAGTATTCTACATGAGAACGATTGTTTTACTCTAAGATAAATATAATTCCCCCTTTTTTTACTATAATTTTTCTTTCACATTAATGAGATTTCAGATGATAGCACATCAACAGAAGTTATGTTTTGTACTGAGGTCCAGCTCTATTTCTTGATCGAATACTGAAATTAATATTTGAAAACATTCAATATTAATACTTGTAGTATATCTAGTATGCTATTACTGTTTTCATGTCAGTTTCAGCAGTTTGAGAGCAATTTAAAAGCTCAATCCCAACATTTAACCTTTCAATTTGTACATTTTGTAGGGATGACGGAATGTCTCAAGAAATGATTGAATTCTTGATCAGTGCTGCGCAAAATCTAAAAGTTTTAGAGGTACATTACTAAATTTAAGTTTTTCGAGCATTATTCTTTATTTTTATCAAAAAATTCTTTTTCAGGTTATTGTAAATATTCCTAAGAATTGGAAAAGAAAAAGAGCGAAACTTGCTCGCACAAGACTTCGAATTTTCTCAGCACTTCATAAAATGCCAAATCTTCAGGTACTTTTGCGTACTACTTGACTAGAGGTTTTGAATACTTTGATATTATTCTATTTAAATATAATACGATTGATGTAGTTTTGATGCGGGACTCTCAGCATCAAAAGGTCCATGTATTGTAAAAAGGTATCTTGAATAGTAAAAACAGTATTTTCGGATTCATTTACTGATATTAAATTCATCTTGATTTAAATTATGTAATTAATTCATTTGTATTTTTATCAGATATGTGTTCCGCATAAAATTATTGCAATAATTTGAAAATTTAAGCATTTTAAATGCTTTCCGAGCAACTAAGCTTCATCGTTTCTTTTATATTAGCTTTGTTTTTCAAGAAATTGACAATATCAGCCGACTGTTTAATGGGTAAATGCAATGGAATTATAGAAATGGATTCATTAGTGGAATTAACTCTGATTTACCCAAGAACAGAGCAAGTTCGTTTACCACCAGTTCTTAAAAGTACGTTCAGTACAATATTTAAATTTTCAATTGTTGATTATTTAGATGAAAGTTTTTAAGTGTAAGAATACAGTACTGTTAACATGATTTTGAATTTATGAAAAACTAAAATTTTAGTAGTTTCTGAATATGACTGACATCAAGTATTTTCATCAAACTGGACTGCAAATATTGATGTGACTAAAGGTTTAAAAAAAAGTCTCATGATGCTTTACAGCACTGGCGGCAAAAGTACTGCTATATCAAATTGAAAGTAGTGAAAGAAATTCCAGAAGTTTCTGGAATAAGCTAAGCAATTTCCAATTTGAATTTTGAAGCAAAGATCCATATTTCCAGAAATGCGAATAAATTGTTTGGTTTCACTAAGTATCAATGTCAAGCAAGCGGTTGGAAATTTAAAAGAGGAGCATAGTGTTGTAAAAGTCGTCACAGAAGACCTGCGCAAGATTTTGAAGGTTAACAGACATTTGCAGAAGTGTTATATCACACTGTATCTAAGAGCATTGGCGAAATACCATAAGCGGTATGTGCAGTGGTTTGAAATTATGAAGCATCCAATTAAGATGATGATCTTGTTCAACTCCGATGAATTACTTTTGTAAAGCTGTTCATTTTTCATTGTTTTTGTTACAAAAGTTATATGGACAAGCTTGAAAGTGAAATAAAGTGAAATGAAAAAAGGAAATGAGTGTATGGTTATTCAGTTAAAATCTTCTATACATGCATAATGCATTAATTTTTATCAGCAACTGCTCCCATGTTATACGAAAAATTTCTACTGTCCATTAAATTATAAAAACTACTCATAAAAAAAGATTCAGTAATGCTTGCTAACTCCTGGCCTTCCATAATTACCAAATTTTGTCTTCTTATTCATTCATTGTGCGTAATGCACACTCAGTATTCACTAAAATATTTAGTACAAAGACGAGATTTAATAGTTTCGCATGGTGGTCACACTTCTCTAAGATTGTTGCCGTGGAATCAGGCTTGTAAGCTTGATTTCTTTCGTTATGCACAAGCAGTTATCTAACAACCCTTTTTGTTACGTTCCTAGTGTGGTATTCTCTCATTGTATCTTTAGAATCACTTTTTGATGTTCTTGTTTTTATAAACTATAGTTTCTTACCTCTTATTTTTGTTTCCCTTTCTTGCTCAGGATTGTTTTGAGTCTTTTGTCGTTTCACTTCATTGTTTTTCTCTACTTGCTTTTATTGTGCATGTATTTGTTACGTTTATTTCTTTCATTTCCCTTCTTTTTTGTTGTGCTTATTTATTACTTTTTTTTTTCTTCAGTATATCCATTTTAGTAATAGCACAACTTACAGCCCATACATTTAAGCCCTGTCAATTATAATATATTAACTGTGGAGAATTAAATCAATGAACTTGATTGATTTGTCAGTCTAGTGATTATTAGCTGACTGCTTTGATTAGATCAATCAGTCAATGAAGTTTTGTACTTTTCTTCAACTAAGAAATTTCATGGACTATCCTGGTAAGAAATTTTTTTCAAAGTATCGATTTTGTAAGTCTTCCGCATATTTATTTGTATTGTGAGCTGTATAATATTTGACCTAAAAATCTTGCATTACATAATAGCTATGATCCTATTTTTTATGCTCTGCTGAAACTACATATTCATTTTTTCCTCTTTCATGTTCCGCCTTTCAGTTCATCTATTATTGTTTTCTAGAATCAAGAATTCAAGAGAAATAGCGAAAATGAGCAAGGATATAAAATATTTTGTTCGCTTGCGAATTGGGCATAAGTGAGTTCATATTTAAAAATAAATTTTTTTTATTCAAATAAATAGTTTTTAATGCGACTAATTGGGAATTTTAATTTTCTTTCATATCTGTTTCGAGTCACCAATTAAGACAAAAATATGATGACTTACGGTTTGGCCGCTCTCACCATCTTTTGAATTTGTACATGTCTTGTCTATTATTTTGAGTCAGTAGAAAGAATTCAAGTTTATCAGTATAAACTTTCATATTAATGACAATTCGCTCTGGTATGTTCGTTTATTAAACTTTTGTACAAAAGAATTGCTTGACTACACTTATAAAAAGTTATTAGTTTGTTGCATTTCTATGTAATGTTAGGAACTGAGAACTGTGTTTTTCAATATCATCTTGCAAAAAGTAGTAATATTCGTTTTGTTGAGATTATAAGTTATGATGTACAATAAGGTATACTCAAGAACAATAGTTCTGAAAATTTGTTTTCAGTCACATGGTTAATAAAATTTTTGCTCATTCCACTTGTGATATCAATTAAGACAAGTATTTGTAACAAATATTTTAAGATCTGAAATGCTTGATCGTCCTACATCGGCCGGCATGACTCATCGGTGGACAGTATTCGTACATTCTTTTAGTGGAATACCATTTACAGATCGCAGTTTCATTTCAAAGGTTTTAAATTTTTGTTTTTGAGCAATATTTTATTTTAAGCATCAAAGTTTTCTGGATTTTAAATTTTATGTAGAATTAAACAGAAGTGTAGCATAAAGAAATTTTACTTAAAAAAAATAAAAACTATGCCAGAAATGAAGTTGTAGATTAATTTACACAATATGCATAATTTTGCGCGCTGGAAATCAGGAAAGAATTATTCATGATTTCATTGTTTTATCAAGTGCTAGAAATTGTCTACTTCAGGTCGTATTCGAATTGCATCCCGATTTCTCCACTCCACGACGGGTAGTTAAAGAACCTCCTTTTGAAGTTAGTGAATTGGGTTATGCAGGATTTTCCATTCCAATCCATATCACTTTTACGGGTGCGAGCAAAGTGTACAAGTTGACATACGACATGAATCTTGTATTAGGTACATTAAGTATATTTTTGTTGTGCATGGTTAGAAATTTTCTGTAATTGCGCATTTTCCTTAATATTGAGAATTGGCATTGTAATAGAAGTAATTTGTTGTAGAAAAACACAATGAACAGTTTATGACGCAGACCATTGAAATGAAGCAACCTTCATCAGCGTTTCGAGAACTGATTTTAAAATATGGTGGTGCTAAAAAGGATTCTGATAAGAAGAAGGAAAAACATCGATTAAAAAAAAGAACGATATTTTCATCGCAAGAATGTGTATCAAAAAAGGAAAAGAAAAGTCGTGCTGGAAGTAATCCTCCTTTGCGTAAGCTGAAAATTGCACGATCGCGGGTTTCGGAAAATGATGAACAAAAAAAATTGGAAGTAGCATTTTGATTGTATCAAATTTCAGACTTCAAAAATATTCAGTAATTTCAGTTTATATGTTCTTGATTGAATTTTTATTTTTGAAGCAGTAGAAAACACAATTTGTGGAATAATCTTCTTAATGAGGATTTTTTATATAAAGTTTGTCTCTCTTTGACATTCCGTTCGTTACATGTATTTATTATTATCATAAATATACAAGACAGTCATCATATAGTGTTGTCTAAATCTAATTTGACTGCAGTCTGCTTCATCGGAAAATCTCTCAGCTATTTCGAAAACAGCAGCTGCAGTAGAAGTTAAAATATCCAGTATGGAGATGAAGGAAAGCTCCTCGTCAGAAATAAAGCCACTACAGACAATTAGCTCAGAGCCATGTACATCAGTAGAATCAAATAGTTCTGATTCAGAAGCTTCAAAAAGTTCAGCTTTCAGTGTGGGAGTTGTCAGTTCTTTAACACCAACGATCGATGAAAGCGAAAATATGGTTCGTTAGTTTTTTTTCCTAATTTTTAGAGCAAAAGAACAAATGACAGAAAATGACTGCGGAAATTATGTGGACTTCCGCAATTTTCAGAATTTTTTTCTGGGACGAAGATTTTTATAATGCTTCCAAACATAAATTTAAAAAAATTATTTGAGCATAAAAACATTCGTTTTAGAGATCTTTAAAAGCAATGAGATTATTTTTATGTTTCATGTATAACTGTTTTTGGAATCGTTTATGTCTTGGGAATAAGTCTAAATGTAATGCTTCTAAAAAACAAAATCGAAGTTTCGTTTAGCTTTAAAATATAAAGGAAAGATTCGTTCTAGAGGAGAGTAAAATTTGCCTTCGTAAAAAACCATAGAATTTTTATTTTATGAATGAATATATCAAAGTCGTTGTGATTAACTATGGAATTTTCGCATGCGTATTTGATTATCATATGCTTGACTACAGAACTTTGATTTTTTTATCCTCTGTCTTGAAATAATCCAAGATAAAAAATACTCTCTAAAGTTGAAAAAATATTGCATCATTGATATATTATTAAATGAATTTTTCTAGATCGAAAAGCAGTTCAATTTTGAATTTCTGGTCCGATTGCAGAAGAAACTGATGACATTAGAAGACCCAGTAAAGATATCAGCTGTTGTTGATGCATTGTTGACACCTTCTTTGTCAAGCCCTTGTCCACCATTGGGTTTGCTTTTGACGGACAATAATCTTCTTTCATTCGATATTTGTAAGTTAAGTTCATCACTCATTGGTAAATTAGATGAAATTTGTTTTGGAAGTACTTCTGAAGATTATGTGTAACTAGAAATCTAGGGAACTTTGGATCTTGTATATGATAGAGTTATGGAAACTTGAAAGTATCATTCATTTTAGTGCTTAGCTATGTTCACTTTTTTAATTGGTTTTTTCTCTCTCTATGATTTATTCTTCTTTTTTTCGGCCATATCTGATATACCTGCTCATAATTCCATCCTTGCATTCATCCCTTAAGGTGTCTTTTTTGTACTACTTCCTTAGTTTGTGCATATCCTCAGTAGAATGTTTATCATCAAAATTATTTGGTTATCAGACTTAGTTGTGCTTTGAAAACACATATCTGTGAAGCTTACATGAAGTTTAGTAAGAAAACATCTCTATTTCATAAAATTTCATGCATATATTTTTAACAGTCATCTCAATCTTCCAGCTGTCTTCTTATCCTTAATGTTCATCAGTGCGTTTTTTGATTATTGTAAACGTCTGTGCCAATTAAATTTAAAAAAAATATTCGTGTAATATTTGATGATTGATGGTTTTGTTTAGCATTGAAAAGAAAGCAATGAACTTCATGTAAAGTACTCGCATGTTATAAGTGGTTTTACTTTGTACGTCAGCATCCGGTGGTTTGGGATTTCTTCACCCATGCTGGAGATGAATTTTAATGTTTTCGAAATGGTTTCAGTTTTTCTTATTGAAAGAAGTTTTTTATTTTTTCTAACTAATGAAAATGTGAAAAGCATTTGAGTGATTCATGTGGATTTTGTTCATTATTTCTTTGTATGTACATACAGTAATGAACTGTGATATCGCTATGTATGTATTCATTTTCATTATTGAGTTGCCATTCTATGTATTTAATTGAGTACAGGGTTTAAGAAAAATTTAATTTCGAAAAATCCAGCTCAAGATATATTATATCAGGAAAGTTTGCAAGAATCTTGCTGAGGGTTCACAAAAAGTAAAAGAAAAATACGAGGGATAATGTAGCTAAAGACAAAAAGTAGGTAACATCCTCAAAAATTGCTGGGTGTGAAATAATTTTGCAATAATATATGATTTTGATTCACAATTTCGTAGTAACCTGATACGGTCAAAGTATATTGTATTAATCTCATGACAAATACTTTATGATCTCATTGATAATACCAAGTACTGATTCTAAATGATGCAGATTAGTTTTATACCTGAACTTGTAGTGGAAGTGAATGAAATAAATGACTTTGTGTCTAGGACTCCTCTTTTACTTGTGAAATGTTTTATTTCTGCATTAACTTATTTATGGAGATCCTCTCCACCGATAATACTGTTTCGTACGTTTCACTGTGATATTGTTAATTCTTGTCATAAGAGTTTTCGTAAATATTGTTTCATTGGTAAAATCCATATGAAGTTCACTTGTCTCTGATTTTCGTATAGAAGCAAAAGTATCGGTGAGCGAAATTTTAAGGTTACTAACTTCAAAAGCTGAAGGCATACTAATTAAATATTATTCTGTTCGCATGTATTAGAATGAAATATGTAGATCCATTCTTAGTAATTAAGTATTGATTTACTAAATGATTGTTATGAGTAATAAAAAGGCACTTTTATTGCTGGGGGCACCGATAAGTTACAAGCCAATCGACTATCGTGTCATGAATTTGCAATCTCACAAATTCAGCTCTGTCTAATTAAAGTTAGAATTGAGATATTAGCAATGGTTCAGAGGATCACATCTAAGATTTTTGAACATGACATACAGCAGTTAATAACTAAACCAAAAATGAGCGAGAGAAATTGCTCTAGGACATTTTGGCCAGAATTAGGCCATTCAAGAGACGTAGCAGGCATTAGGCCATTTTAAGAAGTAATGCAAGGTTGGCATAAGTAGTATTTTTTATTGACTACTTTTACTGCCTCGCTAATTATTGCTTTGTTGTTAGTTGCCGTCCTTATTTTCAAATATAGTTCCCACTACTACTGAAATATGGTAAAGCGTGAAATTAGTATTTGGCAAAAGTTTTTTCTTAATAAATACTAAATCTTTCTTTAAATGTTTAACACATATTTGTCTAAGACGAGGAGACTTGTTGTAGTAACTATTTTAGAAAACACGTTTTCACTGTTTATTCGATAAGAACCAAATGTGTAAACTTCCGCAAACACCACGCTTTGACAAATACTTGGTATTCTTGACATCCCTCTACTATGACATTGATAAATAGATTGAATAAAAACAAGTACTGTTTTATCTGATTAATAAAATATTTGTTTCTAACATTACAAAAACTAGCATGCATTCTGCAAGTTTGAAGTTTAAATCTGTAATAGCTAGTTGTAGTTCTACATAATGAAGGAGCAGATTTATTCAGTTATAAACTGCATACATATTAATATGTGGTATGGAAATTTCGAGTTTAGTTGGGGCATAAAATATCAAAATACTGCAATCATCACTTTCGGGCCTTTTCACTCTCATTAAACTTCGTAATTGTTTACTTTCTAGAGACTTTCGATTTTTGAAGTTTAAATTACCCAAGATTGCTTCCTTTCTAATAACTTTGTTCGTGGTACCCATTTATGCATTCTCCCTTTAAAAGCTTGGTGACTGGTATTAATAGCATAAAGCAATGTTAATAGCTTATTATTGCTAATAATTGTAAGAGACCTTAGCTATCCACCCTTCATTTCGTATGGCTGGATTCCATATGTCACTGCCACCTGCTAATGCTTTTCAGATTGATTTTGATCCAAATTGAACAAACAGCAAATGCTTGACTTGATCTTTAAAAGTTTGGCCTTGTTTTGTAGTTACATGTAAGCTTGTGGCAAAGCAGTAGGCATATAATATTTACCTGTTACCAGCTATTTCTAATATACTATTTTTACTTTTTGCTAATAATGTTAATGGTTTCATTTTATAATTTCATGTATTGATTGATGTATACTTTTTAGATTTTTCTGCTGAATCCAAAATTATTTTAATTTCAAAATTCAATTTCGATTTGTCTGCATTGCTACCGTAAACTGCAATGAAATCATCAAACGGTCAGGATTTAACTTCTCCTTGGCTTCAAGATGGAATCATTGCTTCTGCACTTGCTGATCTTCGTAAATCAAGTAGTGAAACAGTCAAAAGTGTCATTGATAATAATGATAACAAATTGGGAACAAGCATGGAATCACGATCAATTCTAGCAGATGCTGCAACTAAAGCTAAAAATCAAAGAAATCGTAGGTGGGATAATTCGGTGCAAAATTCACCAGCATCAACATCTCATGGTATCATTGCTAACGCATTACGCAGTCAAGCTTACGATTCTAGCAATGGTTATATTCCTTCTCAACTTGAATATCAACCATTTGGAGCTATACAAGTTGACTTACAGATGCCACCAAGTACTTCTAATATGCAATCAAAACGACCACTCTCTATGAATGGGAACAATTTAATGTCAAGGAATGAAAAAGGAATGATAGGGAAATGGCTACAAGAAATAGCAGAATCAGTACCTGATATTAGCAAAGATAGAGATTACATGAATATTTCGACTAGCCCACGTAGTGGAATTCTCGGGCAATCACTAAAGCAAGTATCAACAATGCCAATGCAAGTTGCTGAAAAATCGCGATTGTTAATAGAAATCCCTTCTAGTTCACATTCTGCAACAAGTGAAGTAAATTATGGTAAACGGAAATCGAGCCAATCAAAACGTAAACGACTTATGTCAAGTGCCGAAAATCGTCGGGATGAAATAAATGATTATGAAAATAAGGAAAGATTTCCTGGAAATAGTGATGAAAGGCCTTCAACAAGTAATGATAAATCGCATGAAATGTTATATGACATATCAAAAAATCTTGAAGATAGGGTTTCTAATTCAGCAGTGATGCTACGGCGGTTCTCTATCGGGGAGTCGTGTAAAGGGAGTGGATCACAAAAAAGTATAGACTCAAGTGATTTAAAGACTCCACTGAAAAGTGATACACCCCTAGATTCATGTAGTCTATCAACACAATCCATGGATGAAACTGAAGCCAATAAAAATCCTTCCTTTAAGGTGCTTCTTTGATGTATTAAATCTGCTATAATCTTTAATTAGTTTAAGCAGCTAATTTGGCAGATTTTCATTTACAGCACTGTTGTGGAAGGAAACCAAAAAATTTGTTTATACCGTTTTGTATAATCAAAGTAATAGCTAATTTTAATTATTCCATTTTATATTTTGCACAACTGCAATTTATAATTTCACTGCAGTGAAAACACTTTTCATTTAAATGTATTCTTATAATTTAGCTTTTATTATGTGCTTCAAAAGGTCAATGGGCAACGATGGAATCCTTACTAAAAGATGAAAAAAACCTCAATTTCAATATTACGGATGCAGTAAGTTTCAATTTGTTGTACATCAGTTAAGGTTTAATCTTATGTTAAATATTGTATAAAATTCATTTTTTTAAACTTTGCTTTTCTGCAGTATTTTTTTGTTGTATCAATATTCTTCATATGTTTTCCATAAATGTGATTGATAGTTGCACATTACCAAACCAGCATTTCAAGCATTATCGAATGTGACTAATTATATTAGCAGTGAAGTATTATGCTAAACTAACTGCAGCATAAACTTGTGTAATACGTATCTTTCATGAAAAAATTTTTCACTTGCCTTCAAGTATTTTTCATGCATTAGTCATAGCTTTAGACTACTTCTCAGTTTTAAAATTTTCCACAAATATTATATGTGCTTCGCAAACACTCTCTTAGCATTCATCTTTGTTTCAGGAAGATTTTAGCTAGCTTATGCTATGAATAATTGTTATATATGCAAATGAATAGATTTATATAAAAGCAACAAACACACGAGTAAAACGAAGCATTGAACTGCTAGTAAAGAAATTTTGATCGTGGAACTTTCGCTTCATGAAAAAATAATTGCTATAAATATAATTTAAATAGATGATAGTGATGAGTTATCAAAAGTATAAAAAGTCACTTTAAAAATATTATAAATAAAATGAAGCAAAAAACTTTGCCAAAACTTTCTGCATCGTCCTTTGAACTGATTTAATTGGCATCTGTGAGAAAAGGAAAAAAATAAATCGCTTGATCTGAAAACAAAAACAAAGTTAGAAGTATATATATTTTGGATCTTTGAAGAAAATTTAATTTTAAAGTTATCATATCATAAACTAGAATTTTACCAACTTTATTTACATTAACTAGTAAGATTGTGTATTTTACCTTTTTTGAAAAACTCACAATTCATAAAATAATAATGAAATGATATTGGCAATCAAAATGGTTTTTATCATATTAAATGAAAGATTAATGATTTAAGAATAATTTTAGATATAAATATTTAATAAAATATGTTACTTAAGTTATGTTAGAATAGCAATAAAACTATTGCAACTTCATCTAATAATATTTTAACTGATTGAAAATTTGATATGAAATTATCACAATTACAATACTAAACAGTAAAATGTTATTTATGAATTATGCAAAACATATTTAAAGTTAAGATGATTTTGTACTTCCAGCTAGGATTTACCGTTCTACTGTATGCTGTGAAAAGTTCCAAAATCTCAATTTTTAACAGTTTACTCAAGCATGGAGCACTCATAACTTCGATAACAAAAGTTAGTTGGTAAATTTGAATTTCTGGTGTTTAAGATTGCAAAAATAATTTTTGAGAGGGTTCTTTGGTCAAACAGGAAAAGAAAAAGAATATGCAAACTTTCATAGAAAATTTACGATTCGTTTTTCTTCATTGACTTACCACATAATTTACTTTGTTTTATCACTTAAGTAGTGAAGTTTATTCAGCATATGAGATATTTAGGATGGTAGAGGTGTTGAGCATGTAGCTGCAATGTATGCAAATGAAGCAATGATGCGGCGTTTGCTAGATCATAAAGTTGATGTGAAGAGAAAAGAAGGAGTAAGTTAGACAAAGCAAATATCACAAGTTAGATAAATTACTGTATGAAATCAAATTATTGATTAGTTACTTGATGTACTTTTTACTCAAGCAAGTAATCACTTGAATAATTAAGTAAAACGACATATATTATTATATATCTTTTGTATATTATTATCAAGTATCTTTTGTTACTTATAGCGTTATTCTCGGACTCCGCTACATTTTTCGTGTGGTCGTCCTTCACAACATGGATTTAATGTTTCTAAACTTCTCTTAGACCATTGGAAAGAAGGTCGTCTTGTTGAAGATGCACAGAAATTTTTGCCCATACAGTACGCAGTACAATGTGGTAATGTGGATACTGTAAATTTATTGCTTCAAGAGGATGATTATAACCAATTGGTGCACGTAAGATTTTCTTTTTTTTGTGAAAAATTTGAAGTACGGCAAAAATAAAACTTCTTAACATAACATATTAAAAAATTAAAAAGACATTTTTTTATGCTTTTAGAAAACAAAAGAAGTTATATGAGCATTGGAAAAGATGCATAAAAATTAACAAGGTGGGAATAAGCTATTTGACATTTATGACATCTGCTAAAATACTAAATTTTCTGCAAGATATCTTTGAAACATCATGGCAGACATCTTTGGTAATGTAATATGTTTAAAGCAACCTATAGTTTCAGGGATTTAAGAAATGCATTACGTGTGATGAAAAGTTTTTTAAATAAATGTGGTGTGAATTTGATGCCAGCATATCATATATTTTTCAGTTTAATTAACATCTAAGTGATTAATGATTTTAATTCCAATTTGTTATTTTGCAGGTAGATGCACATGGAAACACGCTACTTCATGTTGCGTGTCGTTCAAGTAACAACGAGATTTTACAACTTTTGGCAGATTATGAAGAAATTGATGTCAATATTGCAAATGATATGGGTTGGACAGTACTTCATGAAGCTGCCTCAACAGGAAACTTGAATTCTCTTAAAATTTTATATAAACTTCGAGCTAATGCAAATGTTCTTGATAAGGTTTACTCCTTACTTCATTAGCAAAGAATAATTACTTGTATATAATATAAAAGTTAATCAGAACTTACCATGTTATTTAAAATAGCTATCACAAATTAACTGTTGTTTCAGTAGACTCCACTTTTGATTACACAAAGTTTTATTTTCCAGGAAGATCGGACACCACTGCATATTGCAGCTGCTGCTGGATATACACATATAGTCAATTTACTTATAGAAAAATTTGAGGGCTCAGTACGAGCTCGTACACGAGATGGTAGTACGTTGCTTCATGTGGCTGCTTTAAGTGGACACGCAGATACAGCATTGACTTTTCTGAAACATGGTGTCCCGTTGAAAATGCCGAATAAAAAAGGTTTTGTTAGCGTATTAAAAAAGAGCTGCGCTTGTATTAAAATCGTGAAACAAATTCATTCAGGAAAGATTCAATCAGTGAAAAGTAAAGAATGAAAAAACTGATAAACAATTCTTCTCTAGAAAATAAGCAAAAATAATAAAATCATGAAGTAAATTTAAAAAAACTAAATTAGTAATCAGTAGTTGAATGCGTGAAAAGTAGCAGATGACATCATAATTTTCAATAATTTAATAATAATTTCAAATAGCGTTCTTGATCAATGCTAAACGTTGATTTAGGTGCCTTAGGTTTACATTCTGCTGCTGCTGCCGGATTCACAGATGTTGTTCGAGTGCTCATTATTAAAGGAACGAACGTGGATGTAAAAACTGGAGTAAATTTCATTATTTATTAGCTATGTTGAAGTTTCAAATTATAAAAGTATATTTAAAGAGTTTATTCAATCTAAAAACTTGCTATTATTAAATAGAAAAATATTAATAGTTATTTTTACTGATAACCTCGATAAATATATCAATAAATGACAGTAATCTCTATTACTGTAGATAATAAAAAGTACTGCAAAATTTATGATTAATATAAAGTGTGTTGTCTGATAAAAAGTAAAACAGCAAATATTAGGATAACTATACGGCGTTGCATGTGGCAGTACAGGCAGGCAAAGCATCGGTTGTAGAAACGTTACTCGGTTATGGCGCTGATGTACACGTACACGGAGGGGCAATTGGTGAAACTGCTTTGCACATTGCTGCGTCGTTAACTACTGAAGATGCGATTGAATGTGCTATTATGTTGCTTAAAAGTGGTGCGCAACCCAACGTTACGAGAAGTGATGGTGAGACTACACTGCACATTGCGGCCCGTAATCCGCTTTCCGGAATGATACGCTTGCTGCTCAACGAAAATGCTGATCCTAAACTTTGCTCAAATGTAAGTAAAAATTAATCATGATTTTCATATACTTGAGAATATATTTTTTATGAATAAGAGTAGTAAATTTAACGCAGATCGTTGCTGTATTAATATATGCAGTTTGATATACTTTTTTTTCACAAAAAAAAACGTGTTAAATATGCAATAATAGATTAACAATTGCTGAAATTTTAATATTACGCTGTGAACTGTTTCAATGAACGAACAAAGTTAACTCAAGAAAAAGTATATAAAACTGAGACTGTCAATAAATATTTGAAGATGAAAAAATAATTTAGTCATAAGTTTTCCAACGCACACCAAAATTTGAACATTTCTTAAGTATTTCTTGAAGCGATGTTATGTTTAATTTGTAATTGAATGTATTAATGAGTAAATTTTGCTCTCAGTTGAGATTACAAATTTATATGTTTCTTTCTGATTTAAGTTTTTTGTCAGAGTAGCGAAAGTGCTTTACACGTAGCTGCAAGAAGCTGTAATAGTGAAGCAGTTACTCTCATATTGGAATACCTTTCACAGCAAATGTCACCTCAAGAAATAAAAGAATTTGTTAATGCGCGAACTCAGGTACTGTTGCTGTTAAATTACTGCATTATTAGTTACGATATAGTATCATTTTTTAACTGTAATTTAATGAGCAAGTTGCAGGATGGTCTAACTGCTGTACATTATGCTGCGCAGATAACCCAGAATCAGTTACATTTTCCAGGGGAAGATGCAAAATTGATCAATACTCTTATTGATTACGGTGGTCAACCAGAACTTGCAACATTCACGGTATTACTGTGCAATATATATTTGTCTCATACCTTGAAGATATTTAAAAAATTTTCAATGAAATATTTTAGAAAGAAAGCTTAAAAATTAGTTATTATGTATTCATAATGCAGCAAGCAATCTGTTGAAGTTTTGCATTTGCAGAATCAAGAAACAGCAATGCATCTGGCTGCACGATCTGGTAATGAAGCTGCGCTAGTAGCTATTGTTGATAACATTGGTGCTGGAGCAGTACAAATTGTTCAGAATAAGCAATCGAAAGTGAGTAAATTATCAAAGTCAATACTTTTTTGTCCCGTGATAGTTAACTTAATTTATACATATTAAATCACTGTTTATCACTGGATGGAATTCACAATTCATAGTTGTTTTCAGTTCTTTTTCAAACACTTGAGAATAATTTTTAAGAATGGCTGGTCACCATTAATGGAAGCATGTGCATTGGGACATTTTGGTGTTGCAAAAATTCTTTTACACCACCACGCACGTGTTGATGTATTTGATGAAAACGGTCGTACAGCTTTGCATTTAGCTGCGGCAAATGGACATTTAGAATTAACGCATCTCTTACTCACAAGTAAAGCATTTGTTAACAGGTTTGAACTAATTTATAATTTATACTGGTCATTTATCCTTTGAAATACTGATTATACTAATTAGTACTTTCAATAAAAATTAAAATAAAATTAGGAAGCAGTAATTTAGTGAAATATCGATTCTTCATAATTATAAATTGCAGTAAATCAAAAACTGGTGAAGCACCGTTGCATTTAGCCGCTCAGAATGGTCGAGTGAAAGTAATAACAATGCTCGTGCAAGATCACGGTGCTGCACTTGAAGCAATTACCTTAGACAACCGTACTGCACTACATTTTGCCGCACGATATGGGCAACTTGCAGTTGCGCAAAGATTACTCGCGTTAGGTGCGAATCCAAATGCACGTGATGATAAAGGACAAACACCGTTACATTTAGCAGCTGAAGTGATTCTTTTCTGATCACTCATTCATTACTTTCTTTCTTTCAGTAATAATCAAATGCAAACGGTCAAATAATTTCTTGAATGATTAAAAATTTTCCTTACTTACTTTCGATGTATTAATAAGTATTATATCTTGACTTAATAAGTGAATGTGAAAGGTGTTTTGTAATGTTTCAAAATTGGAGTGAGCAGAAAGTTTTTGTTCAGAATGATTATCCAGATGTCGTCAAATTATTCCTCAAAATGCGACAAAACAATAGAGCAGTCTTAACAGCTATTGATTTGAACGGTTTTACATGTGCTCACATTGCTGCGATGAAGGGCTCATTAGCTGTTGTTAAAGAGTTAATGATGATTGACAAAGCAATGGTAATTCAGGTACTTCTTTAAACTAAAACTTTTATTTATCATCCAAATATGATAACTTCTAAAGCAAATCTGAAACATTATTATTATTATCTGAAAAAATTCAAATTTCAATTCATAACAAAAGTTTGGAATTCTCTCACATTTCGAAATGGGCGCCACAAGCATTTTTGATTTTGGTCACTTAGTTTTTGTAGTTTTCATATTCACAAGGCTGAATTGAAGGCAAAAACAAAAACAATGGAAGCAACAACATTGCATATGGCAGCATCTGGTGGACATGACAAAATTGTCAAAATTTTACTTGATAATGGCGCTAATGCTGAAGACGAAAATGCGGTTTGATTTATGCTTCTTGGAAAGAGTATAAAGTTAGAATTTCACTTATTTTCTATGGCGAATAACATGTAATTATCATTAAGCATGGCATGACAGCGCTTCATTTGGGGGCTAAGAATGGCTTCGTTTCCATTCTTAATGTTTTTGAGCAATCGTTGTGGAGAAAATGTTCAAAAAAGGTATTGTAAAGTTGTCAAAAAAATTGCATGCATTTATCACTTTTTGGATCAATTGACTGCAATATTTTAGCACTGCAAATCTAAGCAATTACAAACTGCATTTGAATATTAATAAAGTACGTCTTATTTTGCTGATTTAAAAAAAAAATCAAGTTGTTAAAAATGTATTGAATTTAGACAGGTTTGAATGCTCTTCACATAGCAGCTTATTATGGAAATTCAGATTTTGTTATGGAAATGTTAAAACACGTACAACCAAATTTGCGATCTGAACCACCCATTTATAATCATTATATGGTGAAGGAATTTGCAACAGAAGTAAGAAAACTTTTTGTATGACATTTCACTCGTATTTTAACGTTATTTATCCAGTCTAATTAAATCTAAGATAGGCATATTTATTGTGTAATTCTGAAGAGTGAAAAAAAATACCCTTAAGTTTTATCTTTCCAGTGAAATGTTTAGTTTGCTTATTAACAAATCTATTAGTGATAACTTCACTATTATTATAACTATGCATAATTCATTAAAACCATTTATTATATGAATTAACTTATTTTTTTGTTCAAATGCTCGTTTGCAGTATGGATTTACACCTTTGCATTTGGCAGCTCAATCTGGTCATGATGCATTGGTTCGAATGCTGTTAAATCAAGGTGTACAAGTAGATGCAACTTCCACTACTATGGTTCATTAATTGAATATTACTCAAAATCCAAAAATTGCCAATTAGTATGGCAAGTATTATGCACAGTATGTGTGATAAATATTCAAATCGAATAACTTTTATCAAAAAAATTACTTAAATCCGTAAATTTTAATTAATAATCTTTTTTATGAACTTTCGAAGGAGACAACTGTTATATTTTAGAGTGTTATACCTCTTCATCTAGCAGCTCAACAAGGTCACATAGCGGTAGTGGGGATGCTTTTATCACGTTCAACTCAACAACAACACACAAAAGATTGGCGTGGACGAACTCCGTTGCATTTAGCAGCAATGAATGGTCACTACGAGATGGTTTCACTACTTATTGCACAAGGATCAAATATCAATGTTATGGACCAGGTTTGAATTATTAAGAAGTTTTAGATTGATAGTTGAAATGGAATTTTAGATAATAAGTGTCGATTTATATAAAAATTAATGAAGTTAAAAGAAATCATTTAAATCCGTCAATAAAGCTAAAAAGATACTTGAATTATTTTGAACTTCAATTATTGAAAAATATTTAGAAATTAGTTTTATATTCATTATGATAATTTGTTTATTGCATTTTCAACTTCTTTAAGAATGGGTGGACCGGAATGCATTATGCTACAAAAGCAGGGCATCTGGATGTCGTGAAATTATTTGTGAAAAGTTCAGCTGATGCTCAAGCAGAAACCAAAGAAGGAAAAGTAACAATTTTATCATTTTGAAGTTTTTAATACAATTTTGATGTAATATCTTATATCACTATTAATTTAGGTACCTCTTTGTTTCGCAGCTGCACACAATCATGTTGACTGCTTACGTTTTCTGTTAAAACAAAAGCATGACACGCACGCGCTGATGGAAGATCGAAAGGTGTTTGATAAATCAATGACTTTTCATTTTTTGATAAAAATTTTCGCATTTTAAGTTTTGTTTGTTAATTGAAAGTATTTAATATTATGCCTTTTTTATAGTTCATTTTCGATCTTATGGTTTGTGGTAAAACAAATGATAATGAACCTTTGAAAGAATTTATTCTTCAAAGTCCAGCTCCAATTGATGCTGCAGTCAAATTATCATCTTTATATCGTGAAATGAGTGAAAAAGAAAAGGTGGAATCATTTTACAAACCCAAATTTTTTTTTAATTCAGTACATTGAAGCCATGTAAATAACTGTTTATTGTGTTTTTGACTGAAAAGAATAACAGTTAAAAAAATATTTTTCATGTGTAAAATCCTTAGTTCTAATCAGTTCTATTAACGAATAGATAACAGCTTAAAGAAGTAAAGGAATCGTTTCAGCAATCTTTTCTTTTCTCTAATGTAGCTTAAACTCAAGTAATAACTATCATATTAATTTGCTTTAGAGTTTTTAAATATCATCACTTTTGAGGAACGAGCTAAAGATTTGCTGAACGTTTCTCAATTTGCGGAAGACATGGCTGTTGAATTGCTAGGTATAACAGCTAGTGAATATAACGCAGCATTGTTATTAAAAGCCAAAGATAATCGTGGACGGCCGCTTTTAGATGTTCTAATTGAAAATGAGCAGGTAAATTTTTAAATTTCAATAAATCCTCATTGTATGTACTTCTAAAAGAACATATTTGCTGCTACATGACAAAAGTTTTGGTTGGTTCTTGTTTCAGAAGGAAGTCGTTTCATACACATCGGTTCAGCGTTATCTTACCGAAATTTGGACTGGTCGTGTGGATTGGTCATTTGGTAAAACAGTCGCTTTCACACTGATGGTTCTCATTTGCCCACTAGCTTGGTTTTATTTCTCACTCCCACTTGACACACGTATAGGACGTGCTCCTATCATAAAATTTGTTTGTCACATCGGTACGTTTAATTCTCCATTGCATGGTTCTCAATCATACCAAAATTTTAATCACCATTATAGCAAAGTTTTTATCATTTGTTTTTATTGTTTCCATTAAAAATATTTCAGTATCACATATCTACTTTACGATCTTACTAACAATTGTGGTGCTCAATTTGACACACAAAATTTACGAAGTGCAAAGTATTGTACCCTATCCGGTTGAATGGTTGCTACTTCTATGGCTATCCGGCAATTTAGTTTCTGTATTGTCTAATGTAGGAGGTGGTTCTGGCCTTGGAATTGTAAAAGTTAGCTCTGTATTAAGTTTCTGACTTTTTCTGGATAAGCAAATATTGCATAAACTAGTTGTAGTTACATTCTAAATTTTTTTACGAACTAAATTAATTTTCAACAAAATTTCAAACAGCATGCATATTAAATGTCAAGTATTTAAAAAGTATAAGTAATCATTTGATGTTAGTATTTCAATGATGGCATAGGATTTTATGTACGAAAAACAATGTTCATTTTATTTGAAGTAAAAGAAGTGCAGATTGTGATGTGTATCACATGTTTATAATTTTCATGCGAACTTATCCTTCTGGTGCAAGTAAATGGTTAGTGTTCTCACTGACACCTTTTATGAAATAAGTTTATGTATGGAAATTCAACTACTGACGACAAATTTTGACTTTGTAATTCATGCAGTTTTAGGTATTAATTTTGATACTTAGCGCAATTGCGATAGCAGTACACGTGCTTGCTTTTATGATCCCAACTTTATTTATGGATGATTTGAATAGCGATGAAAAAATGCACTTCGTACGAACTATGCTCTATCTGAAAAATCAACTTTTCGCCTTTGCCTTGTTATTCGCCTTTGTGGAGTTTTTAGATTTTCTTACTGTGCATCATTTATTTGGTCCATGGGCTATCATTATACGTGATCTAATGTATGATTTAACTAGGTATGTCACATTTCAAGAAATTCTTAATATTAATACAATATTGGCGTTTTAAACATAAAACTAAGATATGAGATGTACTTTTGGCACATTTTAACTTTCTGATCTATTAAAAATTTGACAGTTATGGGGTATGATTAGATTTTTGTTTGTTTCCAAATAAATGAGAGATTTATTTTTCCCAAAACCCATTTGTTTTCTTAAGAAAATCGTTGAATATACGTTTAGAATACAAAATGGATTTGCATTGTGCTTTTCATCCTTCCAATCGAGAGATGTTAAAAATAATGAAAAATTAATCAAATTTTTTAACAAAGTACATGATAGCTATCACTCAAAGAACTGGTATGATTACTTTCACTGAAAATAAATTAAATTTGCATGCAAAAATGGCTTTCAAGTTCTTGATTATAACTATATAATCAAGATTTTTGGTAAAATTTTCAGGTTTTTGGTCATATTATTGTTATTTATAGCAGGTTTCACTTTACATGTCACATCTATTTTCCAGGTAATGAATATATTTTGCATTTTGAAACACGTTCTTTGCAAATTTTTTGTAAAATGAAAAAAGAAGATATTTTTTTTAAGTTTTCGAAATATTTAAAAGTTGAAGGTTTTTTAGAATATGAGCTCGTTACTGGTGTTATCAGATTATTGTCAACTTATTAATGCTCATACTGCCGCTAAACAGTCTTTTTTTAAAAACATGACTCAATGTGAGGTTTATAGCCAGCTTATGAACCGGCAGATGCAAATGATGCGCAGTTGATGCGACTCGGATCTCCGGAGCAAACTCTTGAAATGCTCTTCTTTGCACTCTTTGGTTTAGTAGAACCGGATACAATGCCACCATTACACTTGGTTCCAGATTTTGGGAAAATTCTTTTAAAATTGATTTTTGGAATCTACCTTCTTGTGACATTAATTGTGAGTAAATTTTTCAAGCACAGGAAATTGTAAGGTTATTAATGGAGTAATAAATTTTTTGTACAAAATTTGTCATCAAAATTGTATGTTTGAAAATTGCAGGTTTTAATAAACTTGCTAATTGCTATGATGTCTGACACATATCAAAGAATTCAAGCACAGTCAGATAAAGAATGGAAATTTGGACGAGCAATATTAATTCGTCAAATGAATAAACGTTCTGCTACTCCGGCTCCTATAAACATGTTAACGAAATTTATTATTGTTCTCAAAGTAGCTTATCGAAATAATTGTAAGTAAAAGGCATTTCAAGAAATATTATTAGATATATATCATGAATAAGTCACAAGATTTTAATTTAATTTCAACATATAGAATAAAGGTGAAGGTTTTTGTATAATTTCTAACTTTTATCTTTAATAATGAAATCTTTAATAGTGAAATTGTGTACGCAAAAAGCTCAGCAAGATTTGCGACATGAGGAGAATATCGATGCGTTTTCCATGAGCGGTGATGCAGGTCGTATCAGTCCCACACCATTAGCTGGCGAAGATAGCACTGGTATAATTCATATTGAGTTGCTGTAATTTAGGTTATAGTCTGAATGTGCCTCTTCGAAATCCGTTAATTCTATTTTTTCTATATTGTTTTTACAGTCGTTGTGATTCACTAACCATCCCAGTCATTTTTATCCTAAAATTCTGCCATTCAAATCAAATACTTTAAGCTGTATTAAAGGAAGAGTGATTGATGATTATATTATTAGGAACTGAGTCTGAACGTAAGCTTTGAAAATAAGTCACTTTCACTTTTCTTCTCGAGAACTTGAATTTTAGTCACAAGTTTCTTAATGTTCTTGTTCTTCAGAAGTTCGACGCGGTCAAGATGAAGAACTGGGAAAAAGTGATGACTGGAGTATCGAAAAAGTAATTGACTGGAAACGTATTGTCGATATGTACTATCAAATGAATGGTGAAGTGGAAAAGGAGGAAATTAATTTGGAAGTGCCATCATGAATTATATAAGAGTTTCCGAAATGCAGATACTTAAGTCACCGAAAAACTTTTTATGTCCAACACAGAAGAGCATTGAGAGTTTGTATATCAGGTTTTGTTAGTGAAAATGTAAACGATGAAAAATGTTTATTATATATTATTAAAAGCAATACAAGATAAGAAAAGTCAAAAAACAATTTCAGAAATAAGAATTAAACTTTAATAATAGAAAAAATTTACTCATATATACATTGTTAATGTGTAATTGGACACCACAAGAGCACAAAAGTATGTTGTTTTCATGTGCATACTGAATGCACATGATTAAATATATTAATAAAACACAAATACATTATTCACATTAACACAATCAACAAATTCATAGGTATAAAACTAATATATACATATTTAAAAAATTTTAATAATAGATAAATATATACAGTTGAAAAAAATAACTAAATATCTACACAAAAATCACTATTCATATATACATAATTAGTGGAATGACTAACATACTTAAATTACAAGAAATAGATGCATATAAATACATAATAAAAACACATTAATGATTTAAAAGCAGTAATATATATATATATATAATATCAAATATATACCTCAAATAAAAAAAAGATAACTTCGATCGACACCATCGATTTTGCAGTTTTCTGATCGAAAGCGACGAGCATTCAAATATATATTTTCGGTTTCTTTGACGCCAATGAGTTCCGAAGGATAGGAACTCAAAAATATCGAGTTTCTTGGAACTTCATAATCATCTAAATCCATAGTTCCAAGACTTTGTCGAGAAAAAAGCTTGATCTCGTTGATTTACTAGCCCATGGGATGTAGAGGTGGATTGTAGCCATGTTATTAATAAAGTAAGGCGCTACTTCCTGCATCACAGTCGTGCTTTGAAATTGAAGTTACTCGAGCTGAAACTTCGACCAAAAGCAATTTTTGATGCAGATCACAGTAAGTGTAGTTCTGCATCACTTTTTCTTCTTAATATTCGTTAAGCCAAAACTCAAAGTATTATCACCCACGATGTTTCTGGCGCTGCATTTATTTAAGTCGATCACTTTGACCTCTACAAATTCCATTAATGTTCTTGAGTTCTTTTTCCTCTTTTCATATGCAGGAAAAAGAACTATTTTTAAAAAATCTTAGGAGACCAGACATCTCCTGAGGACTGCAATTCATGAAGTTTCTGTTGCTGTTCGTACTGTGAGCAAAAATAACCCCTTTAAATAACCAATCATGTTCTTGAGTTCTTCTTCTCCATCAAAAGTGACTAATATTTTCGAGCATCTTTTAAAATCGCTGCAAGACGTCTTCTAGCGTATGATTCAACGGAGCGCCTTCAGCTCTTAAACATTTACAGTGTTTATTTGAAAACACTATTAATTAAATAATGTTCTTGAGATTCCTCTCCTTCAAATAAACACTGTTTCTGAGTTGTTGTTCCTGAGATTAGTGCTGCAAGCTATATAATTTAGTAATTTCTTCCTGGTGGATTTCTAGCCTCCAAAATTTGCTTTAATATTCATTTCCAACTTTCCCTTTCATTGTCGTTTTTGAGCTCTTCCTTGCCAAACATCATTCTCGGCCTGCTCTTCAAGGAGGCATCAAAATTTCGTACCTGGCCATTTCTGTTTAAGGCAGTGCCAGGTTTCTTCAATCCACCAGGTAAGTCGTTTTAGTTTTTAAAGTAGTGCTTCGTAATTATTTGAAGCACTTTTCTATCTTCTCCATAAACCGTTTGGCATGCTCTAGCAGTTGTAACTCCAGACGTTAACTTCGAAGAATGCGCAGTATCTCCCAATACTGCAGTAAATTCTTCCTGTCTTTTGCCATTTGCTATCCTCCACAAATGTTGAAATAATTGCATAGTTAGCGTCCTCATTGATTGAGGACCTTGTCTGTTTCTTCGTAAACTGTTGTGATGACGGAGACAAAAATTCCCGGAGCATGCGGATATGCTCCCAAAATCTAGTCTGCCACTATCCAGATGGCAAACACTTTCAAAATGCCTGTCGATTTTGACCTAATCTTCATTTGGTCTTCGGCAAGGCCTATAAAAATGGTCCTTGCCTGCGTCTTCATAATCTTCAAAAATTAACCATTAATGATGGTGAGTAGGGCACATGGGAATTTGGTCCTTTCAAATCTTGTCCACATCCCATGAGCTTCTTCGTTCCTCAGCGCCTCGTGCTGACATTAGTTGTTCTGAACACAACTCGTCGTTCAGAACCATCGCCAGTCAACTAATTATTAAAATAAAATCATGTTGACGATGTGACTGAAGCAAAGACCTGAAAAGAAGACGAGTTGAGAAAATGGCAATTAGATAAAAAATTATGTACGAACGGTAGGCATGAAGTTTAAATAATCAATGCTAGCCACGATGGAACCGATCTAAATTAAGTACCTTATTCCTGTAACCCTAGATCAGGAGCAAGCAACACGCACAACCGATACCCACCAACCAGAACTTGTGAAACTGAAAGTGCAACGTTTACATATGTCATTTCCATATGCTTACGTCATCTCATGCAAGCATGATAATGGGTCATTATGAAACTATTCGTTCCATAAATTTTATCGAATGTTTTAATCTTGCACCAGATATTATCCAAATTACTCTGTATATTTACAGTCCAACAAAATACATTATATTTATTAGAAGCAAAAAGTAGTGAGAACATAGCAAAGATAGATATCTATTGTTATTGTTCTTGCTTGTTCAGCGTGAGATTCTGCTTAGCATCTGAAAAATAACAAAGTGTGATTGAAGATTAGATTAGATTCAATTATGTGGTAATTAATATGATTTTTGGAACGATACTAAAAGCATAAAGTTATTTCTTTCTTTTGTGATTATGATGGTCTGATTATAATGATTATAACTTATTAAAAATTTCATAATTACAAATTATAGAGCTAAAATCACAAAATCAGTTGATTAATCAATGTACTGTTATTATAAGTCAAAGTTTTGTATAGATTTCACTGCATATTCGATAACAAATATAACTGTTTCTTAGTTGATAGCACGGAAAATTTGGAATAAAGTAGTTATTAACTTTGAAGTTTGACTTTTTCAAAAATTTCAAACATAATGCAATAATTTTTGAATTTTTAAAAATATTCAAGCATAAACTATAATTTAAACAGTGAGAAGCATATTTATACTCAATCGTGATAGAATTATTCAAGACTTTAAAAGTTGCACCTTCAATTTTTTTAATATTTCTGTACACATCACTAATTAGATCATTGAACACATCAAAAGTTTCGTCAAACATTTCTTTTGTGCTCTTCAGATTCTCTTTTGATTCAGTTTGCTTCACGACTGTATTACCTAATGTATGAAATTTTCAGAATGCTATGGATATTCTGCAAAATGTTTGCAAAGTTGCATCACTTTTGCTTGTTTCAGATGTAACTCAATTGATTCAATACTGAATTACACAAATTCATTGTTTTACTAAAAATTACTCATGCGATGTTTAAATAGATTGACGATTAAGAATACTTTGAGTGATATTTAATTTTTGACGTAAGCATGCATATTCGATTTTAGCGATTTCTTGCTCAATTGATCCGATTATTTGATCGAAATGGAGCATACTGAAAGCAAATCGATGAAAGTTTGCAGTAAATATTTAGTCAGTGCATTTTATCTATTTGTAATGGAAGATAAGCATAAGCAATATGATTTGTTAAATAATTCAGTGAGGGAAACATTTGCTTTCTATCAGTTATTAAAATCTGAGCTTTAATACTTGAATGAATGTTTTTTATACATTTCATGCAGTCAATTTCATGAAATTATCTTGCATACTTTGCAGGCATTATTTTTGATTGCATATTATTTATGTGTTGGCATTTATTATAGTCATATTTGTGTTTCTCGTCGATTCTGCTTGCTTCAGGGAAATCGTTTAATATAAGAACTCTCTTTTTTTTCGATTTCAAATATTTTTGTACATGTTTTATCGGTGCTTTTTTTGGCATCAGATGTACTTTCCTAAAAATTGTATCATAAATCACAATATCAAAATAAAATGAAAATTCACTTTTTCAATGTAATTTGAATGGTTTATTCAAGTTCAGATTCTAGAATATGTCATTATAAAAAGAATAACAAACTTCTGTCACCAAACAGTTTGTTTGCATTTTATATCACTCCATTAGTACATGACAGATTCTTCAAAAAGCTTGATCTATTACAATTGTTTTCTGTAGTAAACTCATAGAGGTATTTAAAAAAAAGGGTTATTTCTAATAAAGAAAGTACAATTGATGAAAATTAAGTTGCCATACTTATTTTGAGGAAGTTTATTTGAGATGCTATCGCCAGCATTTAAAAAATTTCCAGACTGTGAATCCAAAAGTGATTTGAACGACTTCTTCGCATCATTAGTTACTGTTGAATATGGATCTGTTGTAGTTTCATTATTTTTCCGTAACGATTTTTCCATTAATTTCTGTGTTCTATCTTGTGACACAGATAAAAAATTTTGTCCAGATTCACTCTCTGCTAATCCTTCCTTAGACAAGGTTCTGATTTTTGACAATCGATAATTTGACAATTTTAAATTAGCAATATTTTGCGGAGAAACTGTAATTGTTTTTGCCAATATTTTTGCTGAAAAATTTCAGTTGAAGCAACAAAGGCAGAAAGTTTAAAGTGAAGCTTATCGATATGCAGGACAGTAGCAGACCATCTTCTGATATAACTTTGAGACTATTCTTATTGTAAATATGAATTTATCCGCTGTTATTTTATTTTATACAAAATTCATAATACACTGTATTACTGAAAAATATGTCACTGATTATTGGAATATCCTCTTCTTCAGCATGGAAGATGACTAAGAACTGAACCTACATATCTTGTTATTCAGTTTAGCAGAATTATATCACAAAAAATCAAAAATTACTTGACATTTTTTCCATCTCAGCTAAGTAAACTTTTGAGGAACTTAATTGGTGAAATTCAGCGATAGTCTTGGGTACAGTTTCCAAGATGATCAGACTCGTATAATGTGCTGTGTAGCATATTGCTTTGTGCAATTTATGTTCATCTACATGCTGTCCTATTGTTGGCCTGATACAATTTCTTCGCATAACTTGCTTGCTTGAACTTGAGATTCCGTTACGTTTCTCAGCTTTGCCATCTAATCAAACTTTTAACATTATTAAAGATAATTTGATTAAAACTCAGCATAGCATCAAATTATTCATGCATATATGCTCTAAAATGACATACGATGTCGTTCACAAATTTCTAGTGAATAAAGAACAGAATCGTTATCAAATGATTCCTGACTGGAAACAGTGAACTCGGTAAAAGGTACAGTGGTAAGTTCTGAGCTTAGACTTGAAGTTCCAATAACACTTTTGGGCGCTGACAATTCGAAATTTGAACTGTCACTCCATTCACTACAAGAAAATCAAAATTTCTTCAACTCTGATCATGTACATCTCTTGAAAGAATTAAAAGATACATTTCAGTAATAAAATTTACTTTATTACTGATGCAGTCGTATTACGCAGTGCGTTTGTCATCATATTATAGAATTATCTTTTAAGTTTATATCTTTTCCAGTAAAATTGGTACAAAGAATTAAGGTGCTCAAATTTGTGTAAAAACAACCATTACGGTTAAAATTATTTATTTAGCTTACCAACTCATAGTAACGTTTTAATATGACAATCGATCACGTAGACTTCAAAACGTTAAATGATTAATAATTCAAGTGAATCTTATTAAATATGCACTGCCAATTATTTATTTAAATGTTAAATTACAGAACAGTCAAACATATCAAAATCGTAAAGTAATTTGCATGCAACACTAAAAAATTATTTAAAAAAATGGACAAATATTCAACAGACAAGAATTGTAGAAACTATAAAGTATTATAAATAGAAATGCATTTAAAACAAACAGTAAGTATTTAAGAAAACAAAACAAAGTACGCTGCACAATGAATTCACTGCATGCTATTGCTCGAAAAATTAGCATGATAAACCAGTGATCACGTAATAAATATTATACAACAAAAACTTTATTAGCTAAAGTGACATAAGATTAAGCTTCTTCAAAAGATCGTAGAAATGCTTGATCTCGCAGTTGGTCAATCATTTCTAAATAACTGAATTGTGTCCTTTCCTATGAGAAATAGTACTATGACTCCTACGGCAAGATGATGATGAACGGTGTGAATTTCGGTAGCATAAAAACTGCAAAAAGTGTAAAATTGTCACAATAAATATTCAAACTGGAATTGATAATTTTATTTTTGATGCATTTAATGAAATTTCAAGGCGTAAGTATGAAAGTCGAAACGTTCGTTTCATTAATCACGAGATGAATTTCAAAATTGAATTTGATAAACTGAATATATTAAAGATATATATTTGGTGCTGGTAAGAGCAACAAAAGCTGAAAGTATACTTTGGAAAAGAAATCATCAGTATATACAACACATGGAATGGTGGTTGAAGATTCTCCTATACCACAGGTTGAAGTTTTTTTCGACTTTGGCCTGCGACATTTGGTGCTTTTTCGACAAGAAAGTAGTAATATTACATTATGAATATGAGGACACAACTGAAATTTACAAACTTATCAGATAATAAAAGATCACTGGTTTCAAGAATGAAAAATGATAACAGTTTAAAGTGATCTTATTATTATTAATTTATACTGAATATTATTAAACTGACATAATTACAAGCATTTATTGAACAAATGCAGTTCAAAAACATAAAATATTCAATAACCTTTGCCCTCATCGTTGGTATTCGCAGAATTACGAGCACAGGATTGAAGACTGGATCGACGAAGGCAATAATTCGAACAAGTTGAAACCAACGAACCCAACTGGCAGCATCTTGACGATTTTTAGCCCAAAATACAGCTATTTCAACAAAAGTTTGTCCAGCGACCGAAATGAAAAATGCAAAAATTGATAATAATAAAGTATCGATAAGTATTTCTCGACGTTTTTGAGCAACTGTATGTTCACTGCAAAAATTAATATTATCAAAAACAATAAAAGATAGAAATCCAAGTTACTTTCGTAGCAAAAAATGCTGCGCAAGTAGTAAAGATCAAGTGTAAAGCCTCAATCAAAAATAAATTTAAGACAGTGTGTAGTGCCTAAAATGTACATTAATAAAAAATTAGACTTACAATATAATATTTAATAAACTTGCGAAAAGTTAATTGGAATAGTTTTGCAGTGTTTTCTCGACTAAACAAACCGTGTTTTCTCATTTTCATTTAGAATTGTGTCTTGTCGACGGATGCTGCGATTATAACAGACTGTTATAACAAATACCGAAAATGCTACTGCTAGAAACGTTAGCGTGAAAAACGTGTGACCACGTAATAAATAAACACCAAAATTGTGAAACGGTGAAACTCGATCACAAAGATCACGGAAGATACCATAATTGGATAATACTAAACTGAAAGTAACAAATCAGTTACTATCTAGACAAGATTGTATTGAAAATTTAAGCTGCGCAAAAAGCAAAACAATTAGCGAATTGAAGAAGAAATTAATTTGAAAACATTGTTCGAAAAAACAATTGATTAATTAATTCAGTTAAAACAGTTCTACAATTTTTTCATTACTGTAATGAATAACTACTTTTTATCATTCTCAAAATGATTTTGTGCCTAACTAACTTTCAAATTTAATTTTTGTTATAACTATTCTGAAAATATTTACAAATAAATCACTGACTATGTTTAATTTCTCACTAATTATTCAATTACAAAAATTATATATGCTTATTTATTCTAACTTCAATTCATGGCACTGAATGTCATTTTGACGAAATTTTAGCGCTGTGATCATTCGTCCCATAGAACTGATTGCTATGAGCTGTAGAAATGAAAATAGTGAATGTGCAATAAATAAAAATACCCAAACAAATGAAAATACCAAAATTACACACATTCGCGATAATCTCATTGTTTTACCAGCCATCGAACGATTTATAACAACCTTAACTAAGACTTAATGATTAATAAATTATCATAATTTTCATAACACTGCGTAAGAATCATAAATTTTACTACATGTGAAATATATGTCTACTATATGATTCCGTTGTTTTTTGAATAAAAAAGGTCAAAAAACATTTTACAAGCTTTCAAACGCAAACAACATTTTAATAAAATATTTGGTTAATACTGAAGCTCTGTTAAAGTTGGCTGAAGTAACAGAATATTTTGTTTTCAGTTAAACAAAATCACTTAGTGATAGTATGTTTTTATTTTATATTTCGTACATTAATTTATTTTTTAAATATTATAGACATTTATGTACATATAACTTTTGTATTATATAATTTAAGTGTATTTAATTGGTATAAAAAATTTTTATAGACACTTCACAGTATATATGGTATTTAGGTATACATAATTTGTGGTATGTATGTAAAAATTTTATGTATAATCTTTCATTTTTTGGAAGTACGGTAATAAATGAGAGCAAAACTTAAAATAACTTGCCAAGACAAGAAGAAGTAAATTGAGAAGGCCAAGAAGTGATCCATTTTGGGCAAGTGAATAGAGCGTTTCTTGAATTATTTGATGGAAAAATATGTTACTTTGGAATAAATTTGCATTGAGTGTTTCAGCAATGACCAGTGATGCTGGCATTGACCCATCAAAATTCTAAGGGATATAATCCTAATTTTATTGAACGAAAGAGAATATTACTTAACAATTCACTCACTAATTAATACTTCTCAAATTTTCTTACTTTTTTTTGATAAAAAAATGGCAAAAAAATTATTTTAGAAAACGTACCACTTAATCTTTTTGTTGCAATTATTTTTATACAATTGTTCATTGTTTTTCTGACAAAACTTTAATAATTTTTTTACAAGATATAAAAATAATTCAACAAAATTATTACAATCAAGTATAAATGATATTATTGTAGTAAAATTGACAAAAAATACCGTAACGTCAAGTGCTGTATATGGTTCATCCTTGATTGTAGGAAAGAGCAAAAAAACAAATGATAAAATGAATAAAGTATTAGAAAATATTATATTGAATATGAATAATGCTGTTGCCGTTGAGAGATGCTTATATGATTTCCATAATAGTGATAATAAGATTATAGTGACAAATAATACTAAAAGCAAAAGAAATGCTTCGATGTATAGGCCAATTTTAGCGAACCAAGCGATAGTTCTAGAAAAAAATTCAAATAATACAGTACTGAAAATTTTTCACTCAAATTAGAAAAGAAAAATTATCATCAAATACACTTAAATCTAATTCTTATCAAGTCATCATAAGTAAAAAATTAATACAATATTTAAGTGAATTTATATTTGAGTTTTTTTTGCTTGGTTCGCTAGAATATCATTCAATCAGCTGATTGATCTTGTTAAAGTGGACTGATTTTAACTAACACAACTTACTTTAATTAGTCGATAAAATCATTGAAAATTTCTAAGAAGTTAGCATTTAGCGTACTACTTGAACTTTCATTAAAACAACGAAACCAACGTAATAGAATAAGGCGAAAAAAACTTTAACTCTACAAATTAAAATCAAAAATAATACTTTATTTCGATTTCCGTATCTGCATTGATGAAAAAATTTCTTTCAAAGTCACACTGATCAAAATCATCGACTTCATTATCATCACCACCATCACCACCATCACCACCATCACCATTATCTACATTATCAGCAATATGGCCAAAATTAGCTCTACTACTACTCACATTCTGCAGTCGTTCCAAGTTCAATCCATTTTTGCTGCTATCAAATGCGCACCTAAACTAATGAAAAACTTTAATCTTATGATAAAAAATGAAGAAAAAAGAATTTTTACTTTATTGCCCTTAAAAGGATTATATTTATTCTGGTAGACATATCAGTTAAAGATTTCAGTTATATAATACTTATTAGATTAAATATTCGACGAATGATTTTTATATTATTATTGCCAAATATGTAACTTCACTTTTACCAAAAGTTATTCCTTATGCTAATAAATTATCTGATGTTTTTTCAAGAGTGTAAGCATAAATGCTCTAACAAACTTTTTTGAAACTTTAACAAAATGCCATGTTCTTTGAAAATTCTTATAAATTTTACGAATTACTCCACAATGATAATAATAACGACAATAATAATAATGAATAATAATAACAAACTAGCCATTAATATTAATAACGATGATATTATTATTGTTATTATTTTTATTTCATTATTATTACTAAGAGTAGGCTCTCAATAAGCTAATTTAGTTCTAACATGTCAAATTTTCCAAGACGACGTTGCAGTTTTATGGCTGTGATACTGAAAAGTTGGAGCAAAAAACGTGTTTTCATCATAACTTCCATTAAACGACTCTCATCACTAATGGCTGCGATAAGGTAGCCGCTGGAAAATATGAATTAAGCAATTAGTAAATAAACTGCAAATTTATTAAACAGTTTCTATAAAAAGTACTTATAATACTATTAAATTAGCTAAATTAGCTTTCAAAATGTCAAAAATTTAACTACGAATTAATTTTATTCTCGTTCTCGATCATTTCTACTGACTTCTTTTCATGAATCTGATCAAGGCTATGATCAGAATTTATATTACCTTTCATTCCTTCTAAATTTTAAAATGAATGACTTTTTACTTTGCATACCTCAATAAGTTCAGAAAATAAACGTCATTAGAAAGAGCTTGACCAAGTGACGTATAATTTGGCAATGTATATGTAACGAAATCGCTAAACGTAAGGCAATTGCGTGAAAAGCGTTCGAAGATAGAGCGCATTTTAATAAGGCGTACTTCTGATCGCCCCGAGCACATCTGAAAGTTTTGAAATTATTCAGAAACATTATACATATACGATTCTTCTGTCTGTTTAAAAAAATCATAAATACCTTATTTAAATGACGTAGCCTCCCGATTGGCTTGCAAACAATGCAACGTTCGAATAATTCAGCATGGATAATTTGTATTCGTTCGCATATAATTCTTGAAATAATTTAACTGCTATTCGATTTACAATAATTAAAAAAAACCTAAACTTGTTTTTGAAGCGGTTGAAACAATTATTTTGTCTAAAAAATAGCTCAAGAACCAAAAAAAACCAAATCTGTCACAAAATACCATTTAAACTTTTAAGTTGGTTGAACAAAGACTATGTAAGATGATAATATTAAATAAGACTTATACTTATCAAATCTTAATCAAATGGGAGGAAATACGTGGAAAGTCAATTAGCAAAAGAAGCAGAAAGTTTGATCACAAAAATGTCTGACTTATTTTCCGAATTTCAAACTTTATTAATTTCAAACTTGTTATTCAAACAACAATTAATAAGTTGCCAAAAGGTTATTTAAACTTTTGTTACACTGTTGTAATTATTAAGAGCTATGCATTCTTTATTGAGGTTGTGAGACATATATCACATAAATTAACTACATAGCTCTGAAATGAACTGAATGCTATTTTTCGACTTCACAACTCAGAATTACCTGCGGTCTGAATTGCTTTCTTCAAAGAGCATTTGGAATAAACTTGCATATTTTGTTAATCCAAAAATATGAATATCATCATTTTGCTGGCAAACCTAAAAATTATATTAGAGATATTAATGCAATGACAAACTGTGTCCGCAGATTTTTATGATTTTAATTTAACACGAAGTAAAAAATATAAAACTACTTGAAAAGACTTATCCGATGTAAAAATTTTTTGAAATTTAAATCGAAATAAATTCTAGTAACCCAAATTGAGCAGCAATTTTTCACAATTACTGGGGAATGTTCACACAAGTAGTAATAATGGAAATTTCCAAACGAAAAGTACTTACTTAATTTGGAAAGATCTTAACTCAGTTTCTTTTTTGGCTTAAAAATTAATAAGCAATTGTTAAGTACCAGAGCGAAAGCAGCACGTGTGAACAATATTTGAAACGTTTGATTATAATAAATCTCCGATCGTTTCCAAGTAACTACATTATTTACTTCACAGTACTGAAGAGACTGCATAAACCATACTAAAGCCGCATAACGCGGTGGCACGTAATGCTCGGTTTCACGCCAACATAATACATCATGACGGAATAGTCGATGAAGCTGAAAAAATTGGCGATTGAATATACAAATTTAATCCAAATTTATTACCTAAACTATGATATTCTAAAATGTCTTCAATACGAAGCCTGAAATATGCAAATAACCTGAATGACTACAACTTTTCAAATAAAATTTCTTCCCTTCAATTATTTTTGTACTTCTTAAATTTAAATTTATTGGAAAATATTTCAAATAAGAAGCTAACCAGTGGTACTCCAGAATGGCTCATAATTAATTCTCGATTGCTTGCTGTACATAATTCAGAAATTTTATTGTGATTATTGAATGGTGGCAACCATTTTAAATGATCACCAGTCCATGATACCACTGAGATCAACCAAGAAAATAATATAAGCTGAGAGAATGAATAGCTAACGTTGTAATCCATTGAATTTTTTTTTCACTGGAACTAACATTCATTCATTTTAAAATTAAAAAAATAAATTTAAAAAATTACCAAAAAAAACATCCAAAATTGGATCATCAAATATTTTTGATGCATTTCAAATGATTCATAAAAGGCTTAAGTTGTGAATTTCACAAACTGTTATGATTCTTGAATACATTCCAAAAAAAGGATTAAAATATGCTACATTTTCTACTAAAAGTTGTTAATTTTTATATGTTTTGTACATAACTGTTAGTAATGATTTTATGAAATTAACTAGCATATGAAATATATTATTCATAAATTACGAATAACTAACTAATAACAAATATAAGTATATAAGTTTGAAAGTGCTGCGCGAATTGGTAGATAAAACTTCATCTGCAGAATAATAATAGAGAATGGCAAGTTATTTCTTAAATTAATAATCACGTCATGGAAGACGCTTTTCTTTAAAGGAAATTAAATAATAAATACTCGAATTATTCAACTCAACTGCAATATTTTTTAATTTCCTTAAAAATTTCCTCTGAATGATAGGAAAAGCGAAGCGGTGTAATCTGAAGATCGAAATAATCAAAATTAAATTACTGAAATTCAGAAGTAGAAAAGAGGATGAAATTTCAATAATAATTAATTTTTTTAATAACTAAAAGTGTCGCTTAGCATATTCCAATCCTACTTGCGCATTCTTCAGGCAAGATTGAATCAAATATGGAAAATGCAATCAAATTTGAATGATTGAAATTTGTTTTTCAGCAAATAAAAATTTTAGGACTGAAATTATATTTCTATAAAATTACTTCGAAGCAGAATTTACTTTAATATACTCGATCGGTAGTGCATGACAGTATGACAGTATGTGCTATGCTGTGTTCCAATAATACAAGTATAAAATTAAAGATGCAATTATTAGGTTTATCAGAATGTTATATATTTAAGCATGCTAAAGTTGCGAACGGTTAAGTCAAGAAATGCGCAACAAATTCACATACAAATCAAAAATACGTAATGAATTTTCCGCTTTTCATACAAAACACATTTCAATATGTTTGCATGCATTAACTTTCAAATGATAATATATAAAACTAAACATGGAATTTATAAAAATTAAAAAGTGTATCATAATATGACGTTTTACACAGAAATTTGTCAACTGCTTGTGACTGACCAAAAGTTTTTGCAAAGGCTAACTGATGAGTTGATGGACTGTATTACATTTGAATCTCAAATAAGATCAAAGCACTTTTTTCAGTCATACTTACAAACACTAAATTCCGTTGCTTCTTTGCTCGAATAGATTTATCAGAAAACATTGTTCACAATTTTTTTGTACTTTATTGATTCATTTCAAAAAAATCATTATCGGATCAATCAATAAAATCTTAATATCAAATGCTATTTTACATTACTTAATGTGATAATTGTTCTATTTCGTCTTGCAACGTACTTTCTAAAATATATAATTGCATATGATTTACTCGCATTAAAAAACTTTTAATTTACAATATTAATCTCAGATTGAGACAAGTAATAAAGAATAGATCTATACGTAGAAATAAGTAAACATTTTGATATTGCTGCTATACAAAGAGTAGGTAAACAGCGGGAAAAGGTGGAATTTTCATTGTATTCTGACAGATCACATGGGGTCAAATTACATGAAAAACGAACAGAAAATGTTCACCTTGCCATTGCACCTCAAATCTCAGAGATATAACATTTCAGCACTTACTCATTCGACATGTACTTTTTTAATTTCTTCACTTATTTTGCAGTCTTTTATTTAAAACTTTTACTATCTCTATACACGTAATGTACTACAGTAAGTACCATGTAAATACCATGTACTGTACTACAGTTACTTCGAACAGTACGTACAAAAATTGAAGCCCTCTTAGATCTTATTTGCCTCAAATTTTTGTTACTAATTTTATTTGTGATTTTTATAAAATGGATATAAACACTCTATAAGATTCAAAATACTATCTGTATCATTTCATATTGAAGCTACTTTGAATAGCATTATTTGTTATACTCGTATTTTGTCTTTCTTGCACAAAAATACAAAAAATATAAACTTGCAAAATTGCATACTTTTTAATAATTGTGCCAGGAAGATTTATTGATGCTTAATAATTACATTACAAATTCAGGTAAAGTTTTGTGTACTCACTTGACATTAAGCTTATTTCAGAACAACTTCATTACTTTTATAAATTTATGCTTGCAATTCGTTCAACATCAGTTCCTTAACGCTTTCATAAATAAAATCTGCGTTGCTGATAACTTAGCTCATTTCATTCATTTGGACTAACTCAAAAAACAAATAAAAACAAGCAAAGTAAGATTATTTCAGTCGAAAACAGCTGCAAAGTAATCAGAAAAGTCTTATTTCGTTTCGAAAATAACTCAAAAGTTTTCTATTTGAAAGTAAAAGCTAACTTTTAGTCATAATAAAATAATGTTCATTGAATTTCATTTTCAAATTACCAATAGTCTTTTTCATTTCATACCAAACTATCTTTGAAAGCAATCAAGCGTTAATATTAATTGTTAATTAAGCAATACACAAAACTGATATCTTAGAGAAAATAAAAAATTATATGAAAAGAAGCAATTCAGTGAATTAAAAGAAACAGAATGCAAAAGTTACATTAAAATAACACAAAATTAATATATATTTTCATTGTTAACAGCAAAGTAATAAAAGTAATAAATACTTACTTACCAATTCACTAACTTAACTACTCGCATATAAATTTGCATGAGTGCAAAATCGTTCAATTAGTGCTAACTTTATCACAAATATATTATTACAAGAAAATCACACATTTTATGTTCTGAACAAACTTTCTGCTAATTTGTGTTGTAAACAACAAAATTAAATAATATTTAAATCAAATTTAGTTGTTTCCTTGAAAGATATTCTTGCTCAAACATTTTAAAACTTTTGAGAATGAATAAATCGATTATTAGTAAAAATTATTCAGTTTATTAATATATCTGGCAGGTCTATTTTTCAATTTCACAGATATTAGTCAGGACCACTGACTGTATGATATTTGAATCAAAAAGAAATTTATTACATTCATATTTTATAAAGTAATTTTGGAGGGCAAATTGAGTTACAATATAATAAGCCTTGTCATAACACCTCAAACAAATATTACTATCAATGTGAATAAATATTTCTAAATTAGTAATGATTTGATGGCAATTTAGAATGATTTCGATTGATCTTTTTGATCCATTTTCAAGTCAATAATATTTGCAAGCAATAAAAAATAAATCTGATCAATGCCGACAAAATTTATATGATATTTGTCTCTTATGAATTTTTGTAAAACTTGAATTATTCGTTAATCAATATATGTAATGCTTAATTTTGTTCGTGAAGAAATTAATTATACATCGTGTAAATCCTCAGCTAATACTCACTTTTATTCTTTAAGGAAGTGAATTCCGTTTGGAAAATATGGAATAATAAATTAGTCAATATGCAAGTCTTGTAGCAATTTTGACTGATATTAGAACAAAAGCTGTAAATATTAATGAGATCTGAACTCTGTATGCCACTCTTTTAATCAGTCAAGTAATTGTGGAAATAGCCTAATAAAGTTAGTTATAAGTTGATTCAAAAAAGTATCAGAAATATTAATTCTACTTTTAGAACGTTATCAGTGCTTTGACATAAATCTAAAATTTTTATTTTAGCACTAATTTTCTCAAACAAAAGTAGCAAATACTGTCTGCTTGCTATACTTTTTTCGTATCTCAGAAAGATAGAAAAATACAATATAACTAATTAATGCCTTCAAAGCGAATTACAAGTTTTCTACTTTAATTACTTCAACAAAAAACAAATATTTCAAACTACGCTAATTCATATTCTTCAGTTGGTAAGTTCGAATTTTCCAAAAAAACCTCCAAGGGAATGAGTTTATAGCTTAACAAGTTTTTCACTTCCAGCACTTATCCACACATTGTTTTAACACCAAAACAAACTCGAATTATTCATTTTCTCATGCAAAAACTAACAATCTTTTCAGTAATAATAAACAGACAAGCGAATTCAATTCACTAACAACAATCCACACCAAAGCGCAATGCTTTTTTTCACACAAATACTTATTAGAATGAACTAAAGTAGTCTATCTAAGTTTAAGAATGAATAACTTAACAAATTGCAAGTTGTTAACAATTATTTATTGCAATTTTGTGCATATTTTTTTCTGAGGGCAACGCATAATAACATTAATAAGACTTCTAATATCATTGTGTGTGGTAATCAGAAATAATTCCAACTTACTTCTATTATATCCGTAAAAAATGCCTGCTTGTGGTATTTTATTTCTAAATTTTTCAGAATCTACTCACTATCCTCATGAGATTTCAGCATGTTTGCATCATTTGCATGACAAATACATTCTGAAATGCTTCTAATGACAGACTTCAAGCAATTACTGAATTGTTTTGGAGCCAGAAAAGTATGCATGTATTGAAGGAAAAAAACTTGCACAAAATCGAAAGTAATTTAATGCAAAATGAGAATTTAACTATTTTTTGTTCACTTTAAAATAAGAATAGAAAACAAAAAAGTGATGAAAATTTGGAAAAAAGAAAAAACAAAATTTGACAAAGTTTGGATTTATTTTTTACAGCAATATTTATTTCTTTTTTTCTCATGCAGAAACTTTTAAAATCATTTATTATTTACGAATTAATCCCAAAACTTAAATATGAAAGTTTGAACTTTGAAAAAAAATTAAAATTCCGTATGTTTTGAGATTGAAAATATTAATTATTCATTTTTTAATTATATTTTTTTTCACCAGATAATCAATAACAAAATGACATCAGAAGCCTTATTAATGTATTAAGTTATCGAAAACTTGGACTTGAGTAATTATAATCAGAACTTAAATACTGCAGATATTTCAAATTTGATGGGAAAAAATCAGCAGACATAATTCTAAAAAACTAACAACAATAAATTGTCAGCAATTATTTATTTCAATTTTCTAGACAGAAATAATGAGTACAATTAGAACTGATTATTTTTCTCGTAATATTCAGCACAGTCTTTCAAAGTCTAATTCCTTTAGGGGAGAAGATGCTAATTTGTTGCACACAGAGTTAGTTACAACCATCTATTGAGCAACTAAGACTAACAGAAATGGTGCAAAAGATATACGTAAAGTATTTTCTTCCGTGAATAGTCACCAAATTTTTTCTATTTTACATTGGTTAGAGTTTTTGTGAATTGGCAACTTAAATTTTTAATTCCAAAAAGTTTTGAATGACTAAATTTTAACCAAAACGTTGCATTAAATACACATGAAATTTTGAAAGTTTCAAGCTCGTATTGCGATAAAAAATGTATTCACATTCATTTCATTTACAATGTTTGATTTTCGCTAAATTACTATAATTATTGAAAATAAATTAAGATTAAGTTGCGCATACATCAAATGAAATTAATAATAATAAATATGCAAAGAAAAAAATAATTTATAAACATAAATAAGCTGGAACAGTTAATAATTTAATTAATTAATTAGTTAATGCGATAAACATCGAATCACATGTGATTATTACGCCAGAATACAAAGCATGCAAAATGAATATAGACTAAAAACTAACAACATGTTTTTTTTTTCAAATGCAACTGACACTAATAGAAGTTAATAAGAAAAAATTAATTACTAACGCAATTATTACAGCCGAAAAAATCACGCAGTAATTTTAAGAAAGCAGTATTAAATATTAGATTGACGTAAAATGTATTCCCAAATTCTTCGTTTTACTTTGAAGGAAAATGTGAGAAGTAAATGTGCTTTCTTCATTGCTATAATTCAACCAATTATCATTTCATCTTTAGGCGTGAAATTCTTTGCCTCTTTTATCTTCACACTTTATACTTTTTCTGCAACAAAATTTGATCAGACTGATCATTGTGCACTCTAATCTTAAAATACGGAAATGATTCTCAAAAATTATGGTCCCATTGCCAAATTTATTTATTTAATTACGTAAGAATTCATAATTAACCAAAAGAGATCAATAAATTATGTCATACTATTCATTATACTTAATTTATACTTTGACATTATATTTTGAGAAACAAACTTTACTGCCTAAACAATATATTTGCCTTTGTTTGCTTTCACACTGTACATTTGAGAACTTTGCATTTTACTTCCAAGTCAGTTATCATAAATTAACACACGAGTAGAACACGTAAACAAAAACATTATTAAGATACGTCAATATCACGTCAAAAGTAGGATATTATGGCAAATTAAAGACATGCTTATATTATACTACAATTTTGGCAAAAAAAAAAACACTAATTGACATTAATTAATTAGCATTAAATTCGCGTAGCAGAAATGAAATTTGTTTTAAATTAAAAAAAGATGGCCAAAAATAAATGCAAACAAATATAGCAGTAATTTTTATCACAACTACCGCTTAAATTATATACTTATGCAGATGAAAAGACATAAATTACCGAATAATCGAACAGCACAAAGCTGAATTAGTGACACAAAGCACTTCAAGATGGAAGTTTGAAATTAAAGCAAAGTCAGCGAGCGGCCAGGCTGAATTTTCAAATTTAGCACACAGTTTCAAGACTGAAAGTCGTCAGCTAAGTGTTCTTCGCATTGCAAATAACAAATTAGCAACGATTAGAAGCGCAGTTGCATACTTTTTGAGCCCATCATTTATTCATTTGGCTTAAAAATTGAATCTCTACGAAAAATATGCTTCGATCAAAAATGAAATATGAGCAGATTTGCTTGACTGCCTTCAGAGCTTATTATCAATTTTCATGCCATGTCTATCTAGAACAGTTTTTCAAATGAAATCTGCTACATGAATACTCTCAAGCCATACTAGCTCCAGGTAAGAGCCATTAAGTGAGATTAATGTGAACCAAAGACACGCTAGATCTGCCGAGTCAAATCTGATATTTAAGCTTAGTATGACTTGTTGTAAGTAATGAAAAGAACAAATGTGACTAATATATTGCAAAGATTTAAAAATGATATTAACCCAAACTTCGTGAAGTACTGAGGTAAATATACTTAAAGAAACTAATTCTTAAACAAATGAATTACTTTCATTATGTGGATCATGTCTTACCACTTATACGAAAATGACGTACCACATCATTTGTAGAACCATCACATTCATTCAGGTACGTATACCGTTTTGCTTTTGCTCATTCTTTTGATAAATCCTTAACTTTAACCTTAGTTCTATAATTTTCACAAGTAGTATTTGAAAGAAGCACTACTACTTTCAGCTAATAATATACTATCACAAACCTCGCATGAATTTAATTCTGTAACTTATCAAGAAATAATTTATCACTGAAAATACTCTTAAATCTTCATTTACAGTGATTACATCAACCGATAACTCACGTGATTTTTTGAGCAGACATAAGCTAACATTCAGAATCTAATACAAAAACAGTTCTAAGCTATACTATTGAGCGAACTGAACAAAGATTTGAGCAATGAAAAAATTGCAATTTTCTACTTTGATTTTGAATTTGTTTGAAAAATTCGCTGAATTTTACTTCAAAAACAGCTAACTTGAGCTAAATATTCTTTAACTGTCACTTCACTTGAATGCAGTACCATTCAGTAGCTGCAAAAAAAATACACTGATTAATATAACGAACTATTTCAAGCAAATAAACTCTAAAAAACTAACTACAAAACTTTTGTGCTGTTTTGTGGAAAAGAATTTTTAGGAGGATTACATGCTTGTTTTAGGCATGATATACGATATGAATGAAGTGATTATCATTAGTGTTAAAGTTGCAATTAGTTGCGGCCGGTATGTTGTAGTATGTAGTGCTGGTTGTCTTCAAATATTGCAAAGAGGTTTTTAGCAATTTAGCGAAAAATTTTCTCTTTGCTAAATTGCCATTATAGTTTTTTATTTTGTGTAAATATTTTGTACTACATAGGTCTTAGGTCACTTTCTCACGTAATTTGCCGTATGCAAAATGAGGTGATAGAGGTGATGGAGGTCTAGTATTGATCGGTAGTATGCACATTGTAGGCTAGAAGTTCTTATAATACACTTTCTTTCGGCATTCATTTTTCTGGTACTGAGATGCCCTCACGTGGAATCACTTATGTCTCCTTTAATATTACTCTTAAGTTAATTCAGTCAATTTTGTCTTTAGTTAATTATTAACTTGTGTCTTTTGGTTCTGAGTACTATACTTTTTTCAATTCTTTAAATGTAATTTTATTGCATTTCATAATGTATGCTCGTATATTTTTCTCAGAAATATACAGTACTCATATTAATGCATTTATTTCATACCTTCTAAGTTTGTTGATGAAGTTAATTGGAATTAAATGAAGACAAAATGTCTGGAGTAATTAGTCCCTCTGGTGAGATGGGTTGTTTGCACAAATGTATTTTAATGTGGCCGTGAAAAGTAGTGTGGGATGAGAATTTGGGCTAGCACATTGGAGATCGATAAAGTGTGTTGCTGTATACAGGTACTGTAGTGCGGCCCTATGGTTCCGTCTCTCTTGCTGTTGCGTGCTTTTCCGCATCAATTTTGTGTTGTGTGTGTCTACTTGATGGTAAGTGCAGTCTGTGACCTATCCCACATTATGTGTCATCCTTAACATGCTCTGCCGTCTATTTCAATTCATGCTCGAGGCTGTTTTCATCTTTTCATTTTGCTCCGTGCGTTCGCGTGTTGCTTGCGTGCGTGTCTGCTTGCCACTATCCGTTCATTTTTTTTCTCTTATCATTGCTTAGTCTTCGATTTGACCTCTGATTGCCTCTGTGTTCTGCGCACGCTTTTATGACATTGGTGTGCGTTGTGTGCGTCGTGTAGCATTTTCTGGGCTATGGTTTGAACTAGGTCGGTTGTTTCTTAAGTTATGGATTAATTAACGAGGTTGTTTACTACTAAGTGCTGTTATTGTCGAAAGTTAATGTAAGTTGGTTATTCTTTTGCGTACACTGTTTCATCAGCATATCTAATTTATTAATGGTCAGTAGTAGAATATACCAGTGAAGTGTTATGCATGTGGGATGAGTTTAGTATTGGTCGAAATAATTACATGTTTCTCATAGTAATTATTCTAAAATGGTACACCAGATTTGGACGTATAAAAAGTTTGAACTTCCTTGATTTATGAGACGACCATTCTTAATTGCGTGTACTTTGCGTCATCCCATGAGTCTTGTCAGTATATTAGTATAAGATTTGTTTCAGTATCTTTCCACATCATTCACTGTTGGTAACTGCCGTAGGCCATCATAAATTGCGAACAATGGGTAAGGAAAAAACTCATATTAACATAGTCGTTATTGGGCATGTCGATTCGGGCAAATCAACGACAACTGGTCATTTGATTTACAAATGTGGTGGAATTGACAAACGAACCATCGAAAAATTTGAGAAAGAAGCTCAGGAGATGGGCAAAGGTTCCTTTAAATATGCCTGGGTGTTGGATAAGTTAAAGGCCGAACGTGAACGTGGTATTACGATCGACATTGCTTTATGGAAATTTGAGACCGCTAAATATTACGTCACCATTATTGATGCACCGGGGCATCGTGATTTCATCAAGAACATGATTACGGGTGTGTCCTTGTTTGCTTAACCTTCTTATACACCTCAACTTTTCCTAATTCTATTAGTCAATATTACGTCGGAGACATTTTAGGCACTTCCCAAGCGGATTGTGCTGTGTTAGTCGTTGCATGTGGCACTGGCGAGTTCGAATCTGGTATTTCCAAGGATGGTCAAACTCGGGAACATGCTTTGTTGGCTCAAACTCTCGGTGTAAAACAACTAATTGTTGCATGTAATAAGATGGACTCTACTGAACCACCATACTCCGAAACACGTTTTAATGAAGTGAGAGCCTTGTAGTTATGTTTGCACATTTCTTTTAATGAATTATCAAACCTTCTAACTTTAGCTTGACTCTATGCAGGTTGACTGAATCATGGTAAATTTAAGGTTACGACCGAAGTTTCGAGTTACATTAAGAAAATTGGTTACAATCCGAAAGCTGTTGCATTCGTGCCCATCTCAGGCTTCAATGGCGACAACATGTTAGAGCCATCACCCAACATGTCCTGGTTTAAAGGATGGAGTGTGGAGAGAAAAGAGGGGCCTGCTTCTGGGAAAACACTTTTGGAAGCGTTGGACTCAGTTGTACCACCATCACGACCTACCGACAAACCTTTAAGATTGCCTTTACAAGATGTTTATAAAATTGGAGGTTATTTTTTAGTCAATTTGTCAAATAGTTTTGTTCCTTTTAGTCTTAATATCGCAACGTCGTTCCAGGTATCGGGACAGTACCGGTTGGTCGTGTTGAGACTGGTATTCTTAAGCCTGGAATGTTGGTTACATTCGCACCTCAAAATCTAACTACTGAGGTAAAGTCTGTTGAGATGCATCACGAAGCATTGCAAGAAGCACTCCCAGGAGACAACGTGGGCTTCAACATCAAGAACGTGGCTGTAAAGGATATTCGGCGTGGGTCGGTTGCGTCTGATTCGAAAAATGATCCTGCAAAGGAAACAAAACAGTTCACCGCTCAAGTAATAGTTGTTACTAACTAGTCGATCTTTTAATTTGTTATTTTTTGTAACTGTAGAGTTCGTGTCTTTTAGGTCATCATCATGAATCATCCGGGTGAAATTGCTGCAGGATATACTCCCGTTCTCGATTGCCACACGGCTCACATTGCTTGCAAATTTGCGGAACTTAAAGAGAAAGTTGATAGGCGATCTGGAAAGAAGGTTGAAGACAATCCAAAAGTAAGGGTTTGTTTAAAATAAGTGGTAGATCTTTTTGATGATCTTGGAGAGTGAGTAATGATTAGCAATGCAAGATTTAACTTTTTTCGATCTAATCTCGAGATTTGCAGTTCTTGAAATCAGGCGATGCTGGAATCATTGATCTGATCCCAACTAAACCTATGTGCGTAGAGACCTTCACGGAATATCCACCACTTGGGCGATTTGCTGTACGTGATATGAGACAAACAGTGGCAGTCGGCGTTATCAAAGGTGTCGAAAAGACTGAAGGTGGTGCTGGGAAAGTCACAAAAGCAGCTCAGAAAGCCGGAGCTGGGGCAGGGAAGAAAAAATAAAATGATATAGATGTGAAGAAAGCGGTTTCATAAAAAAATAAAGTTATCTGATTTGTATTGTTGAAAAATAAAACATTTTTGTTAGCTTGATGGGATCTTTGTGTTCTCCGTTTGCGATCCTTTTGGTTTCATGATACAGTTGTTTTCATGCTTTAGTATGTTAGTGCTACGTAACGAAAATTTGTGGTGGGGCTTATCTTGAGGCTTCCCTAAACATTGTTATTCATTTAATGTACGTTAAGTTTTATGGATTCGTGAAAATGTATGTGAGTTTTACATTAGTTTGCCTTGGTTTACTGTTGAAGTACTATTAACTCTATTTCCTTGTTGATAAACATGTGAAATTTTATTGGGTTTTGAAGCAGAATTGTGGGTGCATAAATTGGCAAGAGTTGATGGGATAGCGGTATGTTCTAGGCAGGTTGAAGGTTTCTTCAATTGATATGTCTCAATAGTATAGTCATAAGTGTTGGGAATCTATTTTAACTTTTAGTTTAATCCCAGTTGTGTGTATTTTAGTTCCTCTGAGATGAACAAGCAGCGTAAGTTGGAGGAAGCTTTAAGAATGGGTGTCGATTCCAGGCGTCACAGAGTGGACATGGTTCGTGTGACTTGTCTCCGAATTTTTCGACAAATGTATTCTTCACTATGAGTATCTTGCATTTTATGTGTCTGATTTGGTTTAGATGAGTCTGTTGTAGCTTCTTTCTTCAACAGTGGATTCGTTGCTGAATCATCATATTGAGTTTTCTCCAGCTACCATTACGGACTTTGCACTACAGAATCAAATGCTGAAGTAATATCTCTTTGGTTCTTTTAGTATTTTCTGATAGGCAGTTTCTAATAGAGGAAAATTTAGTGGTATGTCATGGGTATTTCAAGTTCATTTAGGATAACCTCATTTTTTTGAACTTCTTTTGTCTTTTGTCCATACCTAACTGAATATTTAGGTGTATTTTGCTAGAGCCTGAAAATGAAATACCAGCGGAACAATGTGGTACTGTTAGTGATAGTAGGTCGAAGCAATGTGTTACCAAAGATGCATTGGACAAGTTACCGAAGCATGCAAGCAAATTGTGAGCGACTTCACATATCAAATTATTTGCTGAAGATGAAATATTTCATATGAGCGATTTTAAGTTTTTGCGTTAGGATCACTTTTTCTCGGTGATAACTCTCATCAACAAGGCTCTGTAAAACATAGAATTATCTTACAGAGTTCATTCTGTCCGTATGCGTAACTGTCTATATGTCTTCATGTAGAGCGAATTAGCTTACACTTGAAAAAAGGTATTTTTAGAAAATGGAGAGTCAAAAAACAAAAGCGTTTTGTCGCAAAAGCAAAAAGTCAAAATACCAATTAAAAGGGTGATATTGGAGAAAGTACTTCTTCTGTAACTGACGTAAGTTACAGTTATTACTTGCTACTGCCTGCAAAGTTCTGCCGTCAAATTGGGTGCTGTGAGAGAAATTACCAGTTTAGTTGTAAATCTTAAAAAATTCAGTGCTTGCATCACTGCATATTAGATAGTATTAACTATCAACATTTCATAGACTACATTTGCAATTTTATTAATGCACTCTGATTTACTGTTTGAAAATCCGACTTGATATTTCATAGGTTGGATCACTGCATAGCATTTCAGTTCAAGTAACATATTACATTATGTTGATAAACGTCTGGAAAGTGTGTACGTTGTCACGTTACATTTAATATACACCAAAATTTGGGTCGATAGCATTATCGTGTGTATCTTTTCAGTGGACCATTATCGTGTATTGTTCTTCCAATGCATCAGGAATAGCTTCGTATAGTGCTCGATTAGGTATGTAGTTACCAAAAAGAAGGATGCATATGAGCTCATTGTACATTGAATTTATCGGAAGTGCTATATGATGGTATGCTGTTGCATAATCATTTCTACCTAGAACGAAATATGGATATTTGGTAATAATAATAGCAATAATCGCATTTCTCGTTCTCACATGTTTGAATATTGCGCAGCTCCTTGAGTTAGTAGTATAATAATGTGTAATAGAATTCGGTTTCAACATATTAAGTTCTGAACTATATGGTCATGATAGATATGGTCATTTTAAAACATATAGGCTCTATAAACTTAAGGATAGTACTCAAATACAAAGAATAATCCTTCGTATTTTTGATCCTTAATTTTTCTTATCTTTCCACTTCTGCTTATCAGTCATGTCTTTAAACACAAGATTGCAATTTCTTTTTCATGTGTCCAGTGTTTGCAATAGCCTTTATTAGTATAATCCTTTTGCAAATAGCGGTAACGTAAATTAAAAATGGCCATTTTACTGTTTATCGTCAGATGCTGTTTCGTTTGTTAAGTAGAAAGGAAGTAGTTTAGAAGTGAGTGTAGAAATTTTTAGTTTCAAGCTCAAATGCTACCAATATATTACACTGTAGGGAATTTATTGATGGACTGAATCATTTCTAATTGCAAATATTAACTATTGTTATTATGTTCTTTATTCTCCTGTAAATTTTTCATCTCACAAATTAGGCACCTTTAATAAATTTTTAAATGTTATAACAGTGTGGAAATATAATTTATTCGTCTATTACATGACTACCGAAATATGATTTATTCCTTATTTTTGCAGAATAAAATTTTTTGAAATATTGTTATTGTTTCTGTTCCATCTATTCCTAAAATCTATTTCAAAACTTACGACCGCTGTTTCCGAGCAGAGCTTGCAAATTAACATACGTAAAGCCAATTGCAACTGCTGTTGAAAAGAGATATATGAAATCCATTTGTTTATTGAAAATACCATATGCAAGACAAAATAATGTTGCAGAACCGATCGGATAAAGTAGGAATTTTTGTCGATTTTTACCAACTTTTGGACAAATGAACTGAAAAATGATAGCATCTTTTTTTCTACATTTATATTTTTCGTATCACATGTAATTTCCAGAGATTACTAAATTTGGAGAAAGAAAAAATCAGTGTATTATTTTTGGTTTGTGATTAACCTCCACAACTAGTGCAATAATAGTTGATGAATAGTATGGTGGCTGAGGTAGAACTGGTTGTTGCCACCGTAAATACAACAAGTGCGTCCCTGCTCCAATAACGAAAGACAGTAAAAAAGCACAGAATCTTCGCTCTGGTAAGCCAACTGTTTCCTGTAACTAGTCATTATTATTATTATATCTGTAATTACTATGCATAAATTTAATTCAGAAGCTTTAACTAAAGTTGGAATGATTGATTTAAGTTGAACTGACCATTGATATTTTTTGGTGCAGAAGAAATGCAAATTTAGGCAATAAAATATGCAAAAATATGAATAATGTCATGCTACTTTCTACCATTCTTGAAAGGATCATATATCCCATGTATGTGCTGGCAAAGTTTTCACCATAACATTTTGCACTGATAATAATATAGTTCCAAAAACGGTTGCTAAATTTTGTCACCTATTATTATATACTTGAAAATTTTATAAATCTTATAAATAGTTGCTCTTTCAAATTTAAGGTAACTAACATATAGCTTTGCATAAAGTTTGAATTCATTTGTCATTCTTTTGGATTGATAGGAAAAAGATTAAATTTCAGAAAAGTTGATTAATAGAACTTTACATACACTGTCAAGAATGAATAGTCAAAGTCATCTGGAATGGGTTCTGTGTTAAAAATATGCTTAAATTCTAGCACCGATGCTTCAGCGATTGTTTCTGGGAATTTTAAGATTTTCATTATCGTTGATCGGATCATAATTGAAATCAGTTGATAAATTGCTAATATAGCACCGAAAAAAATGTCTTTAAGATCATTAAAGTATATCCATAAGACATTTAGAATTCCTTCATTTTCAAGCAAGGCTTCCGTGTTTGATTGCATTTTTAGACCAATTATAATTTCACATCGTTTTTACACGTCAACTGCTCACAGTGATAGCAAAATAACAAATTGTTATCACTTTTATTTTAAATTGCACTGTAAAAAATTTGAATTTTATTCAAATTCAAGGAAGTGGACTAATTTACCAAAATTCTGAGCGATTAATTGAAAATTTATAATTTGTCAGTAGAAACTTGCATAATATAATTTTGTGCAAATGCAGTATAAGAAATCATAGTAATTAACTAGACAGTATAAAATAGGTGGAAAATGTTGCTGACATTTTTTACATGCAAAAAAATTTTTGAAGCGGTTGCGGAGTTTTTATGTCATAATTTCTTCATTATCAAAGATTATTGAAGAATGGACAGTGAGCACAATCCGAGAAAGCGTTATAGATATCAACGCTGGCCATCGCAGACAGATGATGCTGATTTTGGAATATCCCAGATGTCAGGTTTATTGAGGAATCCTGAGATGGATTTGGATGAAAATTTACGCGAAATCTTCCGCATACGCCAGGAAAGTTTAGCTGAATCACTGGCGTCCATGAACGATATTAAAAAGTGCATTATAAACCATTCACATACGTTAAGAAACTTTGGCTGAATTATTGTAGTCTAAGGAATTTTGATTTATATGAATCTTTATCATCGGCTCTAATTAACTGTAATTGATAGCATTATTAATTTTGGTTTATTTGCAATCGAAAAAATTACTGCTTTAAAGATTGCTGAATTCATTAAAAATACATTTTGATACTTTTCTTAATCTGTAATAGCTAACCAAAATTATTAAATTTAATCAGTGAAAAAGTGATTTGGTACTGTTTTAAGCAACATTAAGTCTAAAATGTTCAATCACAAGCCGAAAAGTTGACTATTTTATTTTCTGACTTAGTATGAAAATAATTTTTAAATCTACTTATTGTAAGCAAATTATTTTACAATAAGTGTTGATATGAGAAGTGAAGCAGCATAAAGTTGACAAAAGTTATCCTGTCTAGGAAGTCAAAATTTTTCGTGTAAAAAACACGGTTATGTATTTATCGCTTAAGGATATATTAATTAACTGGAATGGAATTTAAATTAAAATTTGCAATAACTTAAAAAAAACATTTAAAAGCAGCACATCTTTGCAGTCAGTATATTACGGAGATTATAGAAGATATCTATTTGTTCAAGGATGCTACTATCAAGTTTTACATTAATTTACGCACAAGTTTATGGCCAAAATTTAAAAAATATCCATTAACATTTTTCCAAAATCAACTTGATAAGTTAGAAAAATGCTTTTGGTTCTCAGCAGTCCCAAACTACTTCAATTTTTCTTCTTGCGCTGTGTAAGTTTGGAAACTTTCCTTTTGTGTACTATTTAAACAATCTTTGTAATTTTATATGCTTAGCAGCACAAATAATGCTTTTTGGTCATCATTTTCGGCTCAAACAAGAATTCAAGATATGAACTAATTTTCTAAAACACATTTTCATATTTGTTGAATAACCAAATTTCAGAAGTAATAAATCAAACATGATAACAACAACCAAAAATAATTTATGTGGATAATATTTGATTATCCAAACTGTATTCTTTATGCAAAATTGAAATTAAAATTATTTTGTGCTTTCACAAAGAAAATAACAACATATGTAACTTGTTGAGAAACTGCAACAAATTTTTTTTATGATATGAAATTCACAAAAAGGTATTATGCTCAAGAGTTTCAAAAAATTATAGGAATGACTCAATTATGTGCTTATTATTTGTATTAAATGAAATGGAATATGAATAAAAATTTGAAATAACTCTTTAGAAGTCATTTTTGGGCGCTTGTAATTATTGGAGCAAAATGTTGTGGTGAAATATTTGCTAGCTTCTGGCTTGGATATTCTTTGCTATCTATTTTTTTGAGAAAGCAAATTCCCACATTAGTTTTCAATTATATTGTGATGCCTGTTTTTGCATACTTATTAAATCAGAAAACTCCAATGGTAAGAATAAGCATTTATTCAGTTATTCATTGTGTTGATGAATATAATAGATTTTACACAAAATTTATTTGTTTCACTAATTCATGATGCAATTTTGCCTTCATAATTAATTATGTCTTTTTAAAATTCTCAACTCATTTAAAAAATTTTACTGTTTTTGCTAACTCATATATTTTTGCAGTAATAATATATTGCTATTTTTTATAATATTTTGATTTTAATTTCATTTAAATTTAAATATGAATTAGCTTAATTGGTATTATTTTCAAGACTGAATTAAATATGGCAGACCGTCGTTGGCTTGTCTTAGCTTACTCATTTTGGGTTGGAGCTTCAACTCATTTTATGCTAATTAACTGGGATCCAGGAGCATGTTCACCTCCACCTATGTTCTCACCATCACTCGTTGCGTTACTTTTCGAGGTACCAAATTAATTTTTATGTCTAAAACACTTTTTTAACTTTGTTCAACTTTTTAAAAGCTGTTACTTTTAAATAAAAATCAAAATATCATCAAAAATAGCAATACATTATCCCTCTGCCCAACTTTTTGAAAACTATTATTTTTAAAACTCTTTGAATTCAAAAAAAATTATTTAGACTTGAAAAAAATGCTTTATTAGCATGAATTCTTGAATAGAAAATCAATATAAATTGAAATAAATAATGAACAATTTTCTGTAATTTTAAGAAGGAAATGTTGATATAAATATCATAGATTATTTAGTTTGACAGAAAGTAAAAAATTTGATTGGCTTTGTAGTTTATCGGTCCAGTGGTAGCTCATGATCGCCCTTTGCTTCTGCTAAGTACTGTAGGTGTTGCATCGTGCGTGTGTTTCACTTACGCCTATATTTATGCATGTTTCACATTTACATATTTCTATATGTCGATAATTGCAATTGCTTCGTCATTTTATTCTATGCAGCAACATCTTGCTGATCCTGAACTAGGTACTAATGTTTATTGGTTATTTTTACCTCATGATGTAGTCATATTTATTCCTGATCATTCATTTATCTGTCATCAGTTTTTTAGTTAAAATTCTTTTTAAATCATTTTGGATTTTGTGTTATTCACAAAAAAAGCGGAAACAAGCTCAGTCAGTTTTGTTCAGTTAACTTGCCCTTACTTAACTTATCATTCACCTCTCTTTATTAATCTAAGCGTAAATCAAATAAATGTATTTTGCTATGATTAATTTTGGCATTTCAGGAAGTCACATATAATAAGTCAACATAAACCAATTTATTGTACAGTTAAAATCATATAATTGTTTTGTATAATCTTAAAAGTGGAATTTGATAAGTAGATCAAGAATATTTAGAAAAATATCTAATATTTTGAATTTTTTGTTGTTACTTGATAATTAAGTGTAACTTATTTGAGGTTACGGTGATTTGAGCGAGGGTCACGTATTGCTTCCAATTCAATCAATGTACAATCAACTTGTGATGACTATTTTATTCGGGCAGTACATTTGGAATCGAAATCCGAAAACAGCTAAACCTGACACCTTGGAAGAAAGATATACACTTTTGTTACGTCGATTATATTAACTTCGATTTAAGGATAATTATGAACGTCTGTACTGTAAACTTGCTATAATAATATCCTTATTTTGGATGGAATAAATCTTTGAATTAAAAAAGATATTGCAATTTTGCAGAATTAGTATCCTTCTCTATGCAAAGTACTGAATTTAATATTGTATAAAATAGCTTTGAAAGTGAATAATTAAACATTTTAATAGTGAATACTAATTTGAACTTGTTGTTTTCTTTATATTTCAATGAGGACTTTGCTTTTGTACTACGTAGTGCATACAAAAAATGCGTACTTTGGACAATTTGACACATTTTATTTGTATGTGAATTTAACTCAATTGTTATTACCTTACAAAATATAAACTATCCTTTCATATGAGGTGGATTTTATTTCATCCATAAAATATTATATCAAAGAGTTCAAAATATTATCTTTTTCAACTGATCTGAAACCATCGCATCTAATCTTACATTCATTGTTTAAATACAATCAGTGACCAAATCATCGAAAAATCATTTCAGAAGTTTTATGCAAAATGTCATCGCCTGATATTTGCTAACAGCTAAAAATAGTCTTAATTAATGGTAGCAAATTATTAAAGTAAAGTTTCTCAAAGTAATATCTGAAAACTGTCTAGTAATTCTTTACACGTAAGTAAGCTCTATTGAAAGTTAACTGAAAAACAAGCAAAGTTAATTATAATAGCGTGAAAAAAATTACGTAAGTTTAATAGCCAAAAGTTAGTTTAATGGCATGAGGCACATTAAACATCCCAAAATGGTCGTATGTTGACTTATTATCAAATAACTGAAAAATTGTACTGATAAGTAATTGATAAAAACGAAGTATGAAGTAAAAATAATACTTTAATTTTAGTATTTAAAATAAAACTTACCAACTGCTATTCTCACAGCGATATATTTTGTTGAAGTGCTGTGTGCTTTGCTTAAGTAGATTATATTATTTCTGAGATCAATGCAATCTTCACAGGTTCTGCAATTACTTCAAAGAGAGCTAAATGTTGATGAGATTCATGACCTTTATCCCCAGTTAACTGGTGGATGTATTAATAAGGCTAAAGCATTTAGAACTGACAAGTATGGCGATATTTTTATCAAATATAATGATAACGAGAAAGTAAGGGAAATATTTATTATTATTATCATTATTACTATTATTATTATCCATAATTGCATATTTGTTTAGGCAGTTGCTTCTTCATTATTTCTTCCATCACGTGAAAAGTATTATAATTATTATGATTATGTATGTAATTGATGTCATATTAAAATCAAAGACATCAAGTAAATACAATGCATAATTTGCAACTTCAAATTTTTAATTAATTCAAGAAATGTGATAGGCTCAAGAAATGTTCGATGGCGAACTTTTAAGTTTGAAAAGTATTATTGAAACACAGACAATTCGGGCACCAAAACCAATTAAGGTATTATTATGGCTATATGAAAGTCCATAAAATAAGTTAATTAATAAGTTTACTGACAAATTGCATTTTGATGAATTGTTTAATGAAAATTTATTAAGAAAGCATTTGGTGTAAAAATTCAGTCCAAGATGTATAGCATCAAAGAGCTTATCAAACTTGCAGGGATTCATATCAGTCCTGTCATTCCACTAAAAATCATCACAAAAATTTTTAGATCCAAAGGAAACATGGGAATGGATAAATGGTTTATGAAATTTAATTAATTATGCAAATACTCATTTTAATATGTGATATTTTGATTAAGTACAAATTTAGACATTTTCGATTGGTGACGACCGATGCTTGGCGATGGAATTCATAGAAATGCATGCTGGATCAGATTTCGAACAACTTGGCATGAACATTGCAAGGTTTAATGTCGTTTTCATCAGTTCACAGAACTGTTCTTTGTATTGTAAAAATAGAGAAATCAATATTCTTACAAAAGATGAAATTTATATAATAATCTAATGAAGTTTTTGAGATGATGAGCTATTTTGCACATTTGACTGTAATGTGTTAGATAAAAAAATAATGATAGAATTTCGTGTAGCGAACAGTGTTGTGCTAAATGGCATAACTACAACTACAAGATATGACAAACTGCATGAAAAAATATTAAAGGCTGACGAATTATAAACATATTTTAAATATTTACTCGGCAAAGAGTCTATCAAAAACGTGAAAAACCCACTTTGTAAAAAGTGGCAATCATATAAAGCTGAGCTCATCTCAGAAACCAAAATAAATTGTATCGCAATAAAATTTCAAAAATCACATAATTTCATATGAATTCGTAAATATTTTAAGAGTAGTATTTAATTAATGCTTCTTTTAGACTACATTTACATAATAAATTATTGATGGAAAAAAGTCAAAAAAATCAATCACTGATTGGTTTTACGGATCAACAATCAAGAGCAACTGATAAATTTGGTTTTGATATAATTACTTATAGTGGCTATTGTCCGCTTATCAATGAATGGTCTGATAATTGGGTGGTTAGTATTTTAGATTATAATGCAGCAATATGCTAATGAGTAGAAATCTTGCATAAGCAAGTATGGTAACTTTATTTCTGGTCATTTTCACATTTAGAATATTTTTTTAGTCACAGTAAATCATCTCCAAGTATGGATTTATTGGAGAGTTAAGAAGAAAGTGACTAAGTAATTGGAGCATTAAAATAGTCATATTTAAGTATATGTAATTGATCATTTTATTCTTCATATCACTGACAAATGTTAACAGACTGATAAAGTTTTATCTGTCATTTCTACATAATTTACTTTTACATCAAATCTCAATTATTCTGAACCATGCGATCAAATCAGTCTTTTTACAGACTATTCCATTCAAATGCTCTAATTTTAATTTTTTATTCGATTCTTTGAATTTCAGGAATTTTATTCCCAAAATAGATTGAAGAAAGTGATTGATATTATTATTGAGGTCAGAACTTTTCAACTTTTTCACATAATGTGTTGCATATCCAAATATATAACAATTTTATCAATCAAATTTAAGCTTTAGAAGAATGCTGATAGAGAATTATTGGATTTATGGCCGCAACTTGTGCGCAAGATCCCAGAATATTTTAAGAACTGCAAGATTTATCCATGTTTATTGCACGGTGACCTCTGGTCTGGAAATTGTTCGTTTACAAAAGATGGCCCAGGTCAAGTTATCCTACTTTTTGTTTTTACAGGTTTAAGACCATGTAGAATTTCATTCAAAAAAAAAAAAAAGAAAAGAAAAGTTGGTAAGACAGCTGATGATAATTACATTGTTGCAAGACAAGATTACGTTGAAACTTCTTGCAAGGTAATAATTATTCATATAGAAATGGCTGTTTTGTAATGGATATAGTCAGCATTCAAAGAAGTAAAATTAACTCGAAAATAAAGTGTGAAATGAATTTTAAATATTATTTGAATTTATTAAGTATTTTTTTGTTTGGAAAAACTTATTAGCTGAATTTTCTCAAGTTTTCAGTAATATTTGATCCAGCATCTTTTTACGGCCATCATGAATATGAGTTTGGTATTTTGACGATGTTTGGTGGTTTCGATGAAAGTTTTTTTACTGCTTATTACAAAGTGATACCTAAAAGCAACGGAATGGAGTCGCGTGTCCTTCTCTATCAACTTTTTCATTACTTGAATCACTGGTACGTTGAAATACTTTTCAAACAGAATTTGATCAAATCGATGAAACCACAAAAAAATGCAACACGTATTTCGCACTAACTGATAGAAAATTAACAGTAATTATCAGTTGATAATTTTTTTTAAGTACATGAATTTCTTGTTTTTTTCAACGTAAACAAGAGTTTTTCCGAGAGATATAAAAATAGCAATAGTAAATTTTATCTTATATCTTCATGTGAATACCAATCTCTTGTTTATTTTTATACTATTGACGGTGAAAAAAAATTGATATCCTTTTTCTCTTAACACTTTTTGATTGAGAAATTTATGTATTTAAAGTGATTAGAATAATTGAACAAATTTAATAAACTCTCAATTATAAGTATAAATCTTTTAACTGAAAGCTCACAATTATTTTAGGAATCATTTTGGCAATGCATACAGAAGAGGTGCGTTAAGACTGATGCGTGGTCTTTTGTGAAGTAAATAGTAAGCAATTACCAAATTATTAGTAAAAAAAGCAGAAAAGTCGAAAAAAATCTCGAAATATCATTTTATTTCTACACAATAACTACGAAAATTGTTTTTCGAAATTTTTTAAAAACTTGTTTCTTGTCTTGAAATTTGACAATAACTTAGAACTCATAAGAGTTAATAAACCCTTATTGAAATTCAGTATATTTAATGATATCTAGAACATTCAAAACAAGATTTCAAATTTTAAAAAACTTAATATTCATTGAGACTCAGAGATTTATTCACTTAATGATTCGAAAGTGGGCTTTTATTATTAATCATGAAAAAAGAGAGCTGTTTGGACATTTGAATTTTATAAATTTTATAAACCAAACAAGATGTATTTAGCATAATAATTCCCTCGAGAGTTTCAGTTGCAGCAAACAAAATATGAAGAAAACACTAAATTCAACTTAGTAAGCTTGTTTGCGCCACGCCTAGTTCTTATTTATCCGTCTAATCTGGTCTAGGCTCAAATCAAAGCTGAAGCTAAAGCTTTCCTTATGTCTATTTCTGTGCCATTTTATGTACTACTTTTGTCTGCCTTACAATGTTTTCCAGTGTTGCTTTCTACATCGAACGAGAATTAAGGCTTTTATTGCAATAATACTAGCATAGTCCTCATTCTACAACGACGGATGGCTGCTTTCTTCTGTTTCTTCACTTTTTCCGCTAAAAAACTTTTTACGAAATTGATTTTACTTCAATTCTTGCACATGCATTTCTTATTGAGAAATTTGTCATTTTAAGTAACGAGATACATTTTGCTCGTACAAATGCGCATTTTTCTCGCACAAATCTTTTGCATGTTGTGGACTTTACTGTAGCATTTTTGTACTACTTTTTAAAATGACAGTATGCAATAAAAATTGATAGTTTCAGTGTATATAACAACAACTCATTCTTCCTTAAGCCATTTCCCTTCAATCGATCATGAATAATCTTGCAAAATAACTTTCTACATCTTCAAGTAAGGAAACAACGATTCAGTTAAAAGTGATAATATTTAAATTGTAACAAATAAAAAAAAAGCTGAAAACTAGAAGTCACGAAAAACGTCTTTACTTTGTAGTATCCGTGATAGATAGTGAAAATAAAATGTGAGAGAAACATAGAATTTGATCAGTAATGAAGAAACCTTGCATTATATCGCTAAATATCAGAACTGACAGTATTTCTGATGTAAACTGACAGTATTAATGCGATATACTTGCAGCTTATAATGCAAAGTTCACTTCTCTCTCACATTTTATTCACAGTTATAACTTTCTGTCAATATTTTATTCACGTCACTTTATTTCTCTTATAATAATACATCGAAATAGGACAGATAAATGAGAAAGTGATAACATTGGAAGAAAAATTTTTCGAGAAATCAATAAATATTCATTCTCTTATTTACTTTATTACATCACAAAATTTTGGCAATTTGCTTTTCTTTTAGCATTACTTCCAATACCTCTTTAGCAATAAACTTTTATATATATCTAAGTTAAATTAACAATCATTCCATATCACATTATGCTACAACGAAAGTTTATTATATTTATATTTATATTTATATTTACATTCATATTTATATTTACATTTATATTTATATTTATATTTATATTTATATTT